AATATATATATATAGATATAAAAATATATATATATATATATATATATATATATATATATATATATATATATATATATATATATATATATATATATATATATATATATTGGATTTCGTTTGTTAATTTCTACGAAAATATTATAAAAAAATAATTTTAATGATTTGGAAACATGATGAGTACGAAACACGAACACACACGCACACACACACGTACACACACACACACACAGCAGCATACACCACACACAAATATGCACGCACACATATAAACTGACACAAATGTATTAGCACAGATCAATTAACAATGGAACAGATGAATACTTTTGTAAGCAGTACAAGTCACAAACTGGAAAAAAACACGCGCACGCACACACACGCACACTCAAACATTTACAAACAAACAAGCGCACACACAATCTTAATCTCAATACATAAATAGACACACATATAAATACAGAGCAGAGAAAGAGAGGGGAGAGAGAGAAAAAAAGAAAGAGAGAGAGAGAGAGAGAGAGATGAGAAAAAGATAAACACATAAATCTCAATAGAAACTGCTATCATAGTAATAGTATATCCTCTTATCCTCTTAGTATATTCTAAACATATTGGGCATTCGGTCATCACACAGAAACACATAGAAAGTGAAAGAGAGAAAGAGAGAGAGAAAGACAAACAGAGAGACGCACACACACGCACACACATATATCAATCAATACAACAGTATCCTCTTCTCGATTGTCTTTCGGCAAATGGGACACTCCAGCATTCGGTCCCCACACATCTGGCAGGTTCCATGGCCACAGAGGAAGATCATGTTCTTCAGTCGGTCCATGCACACTGGACAGCTTGTCTGGTGAAGATGATGACGACGATGATAACGATATTATTACCCTTATTCTTACCACTGCTACTACCACTACTACAACTACAACTACTACAACTACTACAACAACAACAACAACTACTACTACTACTACTACTATTACTTTACAACTACTACTATAGTTACCACAATTACTACCACTACTCTGTGGTGGTGGCTATTATACTACTGAGAGCAAATAATAGTATCATCATCACTCCTTCCATCCATCCTCACCCTAATTACGATATCTTTTATTTTCAAAGCCAGGGTGATAAATGAGTGAAACAATGAAATGATGATGATGATGATAATAATAATAATAATAGTAATGATAATAATAATCATCATCATCATAAACAACTACGTCATCACGGACGTCATCACCAGCACCTGATCTTTGATATCTTGCAGCTGCTGCTGTAACTTTTGCAGATCGGCAAATGACGAAGTGTCCTGCCTGCCATTATTCATGAGAAACTGCCCAGCACTGGACCCCCCACCGAGGTTATTAGTCGCATCGTCCGGATGATGAAGGTGATTAGTGTTGGACAGTGGCATGGAGGTTGTCTTCGTCATGAGGTTAGAAATGGTGTTGCTAGCAAACAGGCAGCCCATATTTTCCGTGTATAGTTTGTCATCTGTAAGCTGTGTCATGACGTTGTTACTGAGCGACGCAGCTACTGAGGCCGACGATGACGTCATCGTGAGAGCGGCTGTCGCTGCTGAAGTCGATGTCATGGCTGCTGCGTTGTCGTTGTTGTTCGGTTTCTGTTGTTGTTGAAGTTGTTGTTGGAAAAGAATTTTTTGTTGTTGTTGTTGGTTCTTGCTCAGTCCTCCGAGATGGTGAGGTAGTGAGGAGGAGGGGGACGATGACGGGAGTGAGGGTGCGTTGTTCAATATGGTCGGAGCTTAAATAAGAAGGAAATGAATGCTAACGTATCAAAGATTGTAAAAATATAAGAACGAACTGAAGAAATTTGAAACAAAAACAAACAACATCATCAACTAAAGTTAATTTACAACAGAATCCACAGCAACAAACAACAGCATGCAGCATGACAAGAGCCAGCCAGGCAGCCAGCCAGCTAACCGGGAGCTCCACAACAAATGGCATGTGTGATCATCTTCTCAATGGAGGCCCTGCACTGGACACATCTCTTCATCAGTGAACCGCAACCTATCAATCAATCAATCAGTCAATCAATCAATCAATCAGTCAGTCAGTCAATCAATCAATCAATCAATCAATCAATCAATCAATCATCAATCAATCAATCAATCAATCAATCAGTCAATGCCATATGAACGAAGGAATGAGTGAACGAATGAATGAACTAACTTTCACAAGCACACATATGCCCACAAGGCCTGAAGAGCACTGAAGCTTTCCTGTCTGAACACACTACACATTCTTCTATCTGTCACAGGAAGAGGGAAAATTTAGAATAAGGCGAGCACCATTACATCATCAGCGTCACCAGCATGACGTCATTATGACTTCACCATCGACAACATGAAGAACATCATCGTCATCAGAACTCACCTTGGTCCTCGACTGGACACTCTCCTTACAGAGCAGACACCTCTTGACCCGGGGAGAACAGAGCGAACACGTGGTCACGTGACCACAGGGGCCAAACAGGGTGTCACGCTTTGTGTCGCTGCAAACCATGCAATCATCGTAAGATGATGTGCAGCCTGATGACGACGACGACGATGATGTGGTGGTGGTGAAGTTGTTGTTGTTGACGGGGTTGTTGGAGACGTCTGGCACCAGAGGCTGGGGCGTTGTTGGTAGTATTGGTGGGTAGTTGCTGCACACGTTTTTGTGTTGTTATTTTTACATAGTTTATGTATAATTCTAGCTGTCAAATGTAAAAGAAAAAAAGACTAACTTGACCAATCTATCTCTATAACATTTAGTGAGGGCCTTGCAAAGATTTGGATCAGGGCAGAGGTCAAGAGCCGACTGACCTTTCTTATTTTTGAAGTCTAAATTGGCCCCGTTGGCAGCCAGGAAGCAGGCGATAGAAGCACTGGATTTCTTGTCGGCTCCTGGAGTCCCAAGACCCATTAAGAGCTGATTGGTCGATTGTGATTGGTCAATTGTGATTGGTTGATGGTTAACAGTTGAATATTATTGGTCGATTTTAACTAACTACACCATGCAAGATGGAAAGTTTAATCACTACCTTCCCGATATCTTGCATATCTTGAAGTTGCCTCAGTTGCGACAGCGTGTGGTGACGCAGAGCCTCATGTAGCGGTGTGTCGCCATCTTTATCACTGATGTTCAGGTTGCATCCTTCACGAACCAGCAACTGCATGGTGGTCGTGTTGGGATAATGTTTGCATATTCGTTAATCAATTAATCAATCGGTCAATCAATCGATCGATCAATCAATCGATTGAACCCACCCTAACAATCTGCGTATGTTGTCTCTCAACAGCCAGATGTAGAGCCGTTTGCAAGTTAACATTTTGAACATCCATGTTTGCCCTGCCCTGTAGACGACATTCACATTTGGTCTTTCAATCGTTATAGAACCATATCAACCGATCAAACAACCAGCCAACTGACCAGCCAACCAACTGACCAGCCAACCAACTGACCAACCAGCCAGCCAGGCACACGAACCTGGTGAACGAGCAACTCAGCGACCTCGACATGGTTGTTGAGGGCGGCAAGATGGAGGGCAGTGTAGCCGTCATCCTTCTTCTCATCCACCAACCAAGGTCGAGATAATTTTGATAAGAGGATTCGCATAGCACTAAACATGTGTGCGTGCGTGTGTGCGTACGTGTTTGCACATGTATGTGTGTGTGACGGTACTGGGTGTTAATGTGTGCGTGTATAGTATATGCTAATATAGCAAGTGTTCAATCTATCTATTCATTTTTATTCACTCTATAACATAATTAATATTAAGTTTCTAACAATTCATTTCATACATCCATCAGCCACTCCATTATTTCACCAAATAATCTTTTTCTACATTAACTAACACCTAACAGCGCGAATACACACGGAGATAAATGGACAAAAATCTACAAAAAACTTTGAAATAAACAGATCATCCTTAGGCAGACAACGACACAACCAGACAGAGAGACAGACCTAGGATTGCCACGCAGAGCAGCATGGTGTAGCGTGTTGAATCCGTTGTTGTTAGTGATGGTCATGTCTGCACTGTGCTCCAACAGGATCTGCAGTATGTCGTCTCGTTTCTTGCTCACCGAGTCGTGTAGAGCAGTGTCCCCTTCGGAATCCTGTCAAGTCATTTTATGACGTCGGTTAATATTTACGACCAAAAAACAGACATCCTCACAAGAGAAGCAATCTACCTGCAAACTTGGGTGACAGCCCAACTCGAGTAGAACTTTCACAACCCCAATGTGACCCTTATTGACCCCAATATGAAGAGGGGTCTGCCTTCTCTTGTTTCGCGCGTTCAGATCGGCCCCTCCCATTTGCAACAGCTTTATGACTTCTGGTTCGTCACCGAATGCCGCGTGGTGAACTGCTCTGTCGCCGTCTTTGTCCTAATCACGGCATGTAGTGGGTTCATCGTGATGTTAAGTGATGTGTGTGGGTTTATTGTGGTTGTGTGATGTGTCGTTTTAACAATAGTAACAACCTCTATCTCCATGTCGACGTTGTGTTGGATGAGCAACTTAACAAGTTCTATGTGTCCATTCTGAGAAGCCGCCTGGAGGGCTGTATGTCCTGCAAACACTCCATTGACCTTCAATCAATCAATCAATCAATCAATCAATCAATCAATCAATCAATCAATCAATCAATCAACCAATCAATCAAACAATCCGTCAGTCAGTCAGTCAACCAGCTAGCCGGCCAACCAGTCAATCATTTGACACAAACAAACCCACTAACATCAACTTCGGATCTTGTAAGTATGTCATCAACTTTTTGTAGGTCACCATTGGCAGCTGCCTTCACTAACTCCTCATTCACATCACCAGACACGTGGGTCTCAAATAATTTCTTCAGAAGAACTGACAGACGCTCTGGTGATGGCAAGGAGAAGATGATGATAAAAATGATGATGATGATACTAACAAGGCAGATAACACTAACAAAGATGATGATAAAATGATAAAAAAATCATACAACATCATACAACCCATCAAACAAACAAACAAACAAAAAAACAAACAAACGAACGAACGACGAACAAACGAACGACAAACAGACAAACAAACAACCTCCAGATTGATTAGCAACATTAGTTCCTTCAGGCAGAGCAACTTTAGTGACAGCCTGTGGATTGTATGTCCATGATGTTCCACACACCTTTGTATGTTTTGTATACATTTTGTATCCCTTTTGTATGCGTTTTGTATATGTTTTGTAGATATTTGTATGTTTTGTATACGTTTTGTATGCCTTTCGTAAGCGTTTTGTATATGTTTTGTAGATATTTGTTAGGGTAGGTTCAATCAAGTGATTGACTGGAGAGAATTAATTAATTGATGTTAACAAAGTAAATTAAAGTAATTCTAAGATTCCACTTTCAGATTATTTCACTTTATTAATTATAATCAATAAATTATTAATTAATAATTATGAATTTATTACAAATAAATAATATTTTCGTCAGCCCACCTCAACTTTCAGATCATTATCCTGGTAGACCTGCTGTACCCTCCCCACCTTGCCAAGTGTCTTGAGGTAATTATTTCACGAATTATTTATTTGTCATCATCGTCGTCATCATTATCATCATCAGACATCTCTCTTTCATTCCCATATTTTGTCATCACTATCATCGACATCATCAGACATCCCGTCATCATAATCATCATCATCACAATCGTCACCATCACAACACAATCATCATCATTATCATAACTCACAGGGACCATGGCCTCCGCCCATTCCCCATGCCCCCTTTGTAGCACCTTCATCCGCTCGACATCCGAACAAACTTTCACGAAATCTCCGACACAAAATGGTGGCACGGTGGCAGACGACGATGATGATGATGATAACGGTGACGACGATGACGCGGCTCCCGTTGCAGCTGGCTGTGGTTTCGTCAGCACCGCCGGATTGAATGTCCACCTAATGAAGATGAAGATGGACGAGCAATGATGATGAAGATGATGGAGTGATGAACAAATGACGAAGTCGAATGGAATGATTGTAGTTGATGGTAGCACAAGTGATGATTAAAATGATTAAATACTGATAAACTAACCTGTTCCCGCTGGGGTAGGAGACGACAATATCGTGATCTTCATCGATTCCCACCACTGACCCCGTTGTTCCTAGGCACTGTGCAATCAATCAATTAATCAATCAATCAATCAATCAATCAATCAATCAATCAATCAATCATCCAAATGCATCTAAAATAACTGACCAACCAATCAGCTAACTGGCCAGCCAACAAACCAACCAGCTAACTGACCAACAAACCTCAAACATTCCATCCGTCCATCCGCCATGCCCATGTTGAAGTGACTGAATGATCTCCAGGTCCAAATCGATGTTCACCTGGTCTCCGACCTTCAGGCCACCCTGCTGCGACCTTGAACTTTGACCTTGTTCTCCTGAAAATGTTGACGTAGATGATAACAAAATGGTGATAATGATGATGTCATTGAACCGGAAAATTTTTAGAACACACCCAAATTAGGTAGATGATCTCTGTAGTAAGAATTGCCCTTTGCATCGCTCACTGCCTTCAGGTCAGACTGTGCAGAAAATAAGTAGAAATATAGTTGGAGAAAACATTCAACTATTTATACATTCGTCAGTCACCTCTCAACCAACCAACCAACCAACCAACCAACCAACCAACCAACCAGCCAGCCAGCCAACCAACCAACCAACCAACCAACCAACCAACCAACCAACCAACCAACCAACCAATCAACCAACCAACCAACCATCCAATAACTATATGTTATAATTGATGGAATAAAACTAAAAAAAGAATGACTAACCATGCCTTCGAATCCGACTCTGTAGAGATTCTTGGTGCCGGTGTCCCAGAGGACGTAGGCAGCACTACGAGGACAAGAATTATTCCAGTCCTACAAAGATATAAATAACGAAATAAGCATAGATACAAATAACAGGGATTAACACACAAATTATAAGTCAACATTGCATAGACCACACCCACCTGAACATCAGAAACCTTGCCCCTCCTACCAGCTCCGCCATCTTGTTCTTCCCACTGCCAATCAACCCCTCGTACCACACGGGCCCCGGGGTAAATTCCTCTTGTGGTTATTTTTTTGCTCTTGCGACGTGGGTCTAACAGGGCCCTGAGTTTCAGTTAGAAATTATTTCAAACCCAAGTTACAATATCATCAGTAATGATTGATGATGCTTGATGATGATGAATCTATCTGTAATAATAATAATAATAATAATAATAACAATAATGATGATGACAATGTATGTGACTGACTATTACAATGTAATGATGAAGTTAACATCATCCCAAAAACCTTTCACATCCAGGCGAGTTGATCCTGAAGAATCTATGCCTCAGGTTGTGTTTGTCACCATGGTAGCAAATGCAGCAGAGATCGTAGTTGTTGCACTCGGCACACTTCCATCTAATTCCGTAGATGGGATTCTGGTGGCAGGTGTCACACATTGTACCATCGTGCCTCTGGCCTGCTTGCAATAAAGTTAGGCAATGAAATAAAGTTAGGCAATGAAGTTGAACAATCAAAATATAACTAATAGTTTAAACACATTTGTAGACTAAACATAAACACTATAGAGAGCAACAAACCAGTAGGGGCACTGTCAATGATCCTCAAGTCATAAGATCCAGAACATCTATAATTGGCAGCAGTACCATTATCCCAAACTACAACAACCTCCTCTGAAGACTCAAAATTTCTAACGGTTCCCACATGACCTTCTCCGCCATCCTGCTTGCCCCATTTCCAATCAGGGCCTCGAATTACCCTAGCTCCGACTCCCTCGACGATGCCAGATCGTGAGCCACTTTTGTTGCTGCCACTTTGGTTGCTGTTGCTGGCAGCCCCGGCGCTTCCGTTGCTGAAGCTGGTTGAGTTGGAGGAGGTACTTGTCGTTGTGGGGGTTACGGAGGTTGGTGTGTTTAGCGCAGAGGTCGTCGTCGTCGGGATTGCCGGAGTGGTTTCCATCCAAATCAACCTACGGATTTTACTTTTTATACTTTCGTTTGTTTTTTTGTAGGAAATGAATGATTAGCAGTTTGTGAAGTCAATTAAGAAGTCTTTTCTTATTTGTTCCAAGCTATTTTGGAAGATTCTTCGTATTTAGAGCATTTTTTTAAAATTCGCTTAAATAAAAAAGAATTTTTAAACGTTAAATTGTATTGATGAGTAATAAATCGTGAGCGGTGAGACAAATATTAAATAAAAATAAAAACAAATCAATGTAGTTGGGCTTTTTTTTACCGGACAATACCCAGCAAATACTCGGACTGAAAGGAATGATGTCCAATTGATATATCTTTCAAAAGTTTTTAATTATTCATTTTACATTTTCAAACTAAAAAAATTAAGTTTCATTTAAATCTTATAAAAAAAATCCACTGGCCTTATTCCCTATATCAATGCCCACATTAAAAAATCAAACTATAGTGCATATTCCACATTACATAATGATAACTATTCGGTCGATTCAAGATACTATGTATGAAAACCTTCGTGATTTCCGTTACTAAATTATATATTTTCATACTGAGCACTACATAAATTTGATAAAAAAAACTACCAGGTTGATTCACTATATCAACGCCACATTCCACAAAATTAGAACCACAATGCATGTTCCGTCGTGCTCTGTAATCAATGACTTAGCGCAAAAACAGTTTCACTTGTTTCTTATCCAACGTACACTACGTTTAATTCATTTTTAAAGTTTGCCTTTGTCATTACTGTTAAGTGGTCGTTAAAGTCTTTTTTTCGCAGTTTGTGTTGGCTAATTATTTAATTTAATTAGGTTTTTTGTCTTGTTACCGACAGCTGACGTCACAAACAAAATGGTTCATAGTTTATTTAAATTTTTAAACTTCTTTATTTATATTTTAAAATTATCCTCCCTAATTTTTTATTAACTTAGTCTTAGTAGTTAGAACTTAAGTAATTCTGTGATGTGTAATGTGTGTAATGGGGGGGGTGTAATTTTGTAATTGTCAGTGGGGTGTAGTGTAGTTTTGTTTATTTATGTAAAGTTTAGTTTAGCATTAGCTAAATTTAATTTTATTTATGACTTATGTTCTTATCTGTTATTAACTAAATTAATAAATAAAATAAACTAATAGTTTATTTATCTTTATGTAGTTAGGTGTGTAGTAAAATTATTGTTAAATAAATATATATTATAAAAATAAAATATATAAATATATATTATTAATATTAATTATAAATTGTTTTAAAAAATAAATAAAATGCATATGCTTAATAAAATAAAGTCAATATTATTTCAATTTTGTTTTCATTTAATTTTAATTTAATTTTATAATATATTAAATTTAAAATTTAAGGATCAGTTTCTTAGTGGTCTTCCATCGTTTAATCCAGAAAATTTTTCTAGATTCCAGGTTGACCATAGCCAGAAAAACTGCACGGTTATTATTTTTTTAACTGTCATTGTAACTAAAAATAAATTATATTTTCAGATTTAAATAACAAAACATATATCTATCTTATTCTTTCCCTCTCTTTCTCTCTATATATATATATGCCATATATGATTTCCTTGAATCGATTGGTAGGTCACTCCGCTCATAACACTTTCTGTTCACAAAAAGGTCATGAATGACCCAAGTCTTTTAGAATAAAATTGTTCTTTAAATTGTGAGCAAAGGTCAGAAGAGGGTAACAGCCTATTGTTTTGGAATATCTTATATTATAAAATGAGAATTTTATAATTTCTGTTTTTGTTGAATTAATTTTGTTTTTTTTCTCATCAAAATTTTGCATCTCGTTTATTTATTTATTTGATTTTTTATTTATTTATAGAGTAAAAGGCCTCCAATATATGTGTCAGAGAGAGAACATCCCAATCCTCAAAGTACTAAATTTCAGCTTTTCCGTATTTTTAATTTTCACAGTACAGTATTTTTTACACTGGCTCATGTAATTTTTTCTCATTTATTGGCTATTTATAGATAGTAATTATTCCTGTGTTAAAGTATTGAATTATTCAATAGTTGGATAAAAAGATGTGGTACTTTGTAGGGAAAATTTTTTTCGTGAACTATACATCTCTAAAAAACGACTTGCCTATACATCCGTTGTTAGTTAATTTGAAAATATGCTCCACCATCTAGCTATTGCTTCCTTATAATAGTTGAAAATAGTAATTGCATAGATTTTATTAAAATTAATTACTTAATTTTTCCAAAAATTTGCAGTAATAACAACAGAAAAATCGAACATCCTTCTTAGGTATCTCGACAAAGAATGGGCAGATAAGGTGAGCACTTGTTTGTGAATGAAATATCTTACCACTTACTTAAAATTTATTTATATTTAAAAAGTTAATACATTCCTCCATTAAAATATTTATAACATTATAAACTATATTATATTTCACTTTTATTATAAATTGTACATTTGCTTATCTTCATTTCATGTTCATCATTACCGCATAAATTAGAACTAATTTGACCGGAATTTCGGAATTAGCGATCCCATATATTTAAATTTTTTCCTTCCCTACAGAGGGCACTACTGCCAGGCAAAAGAGACAGCAGGTTCGCGAAACTGGACTCCATAGGCGAAGATAGTCAGTTGAAAAAAGTTCCGAAATACGAAGACCCTGGCAGAACTTTTGTCTAAAAATAATTTTAAAAAATATTTTATATTACAACAATCCTTAAAGACAACTACCACTTGTTTTTTATTCTTCTGCAATTTTATCTTTACATGTAGAAAGAAACCAACTATCCAAATGTATTATTTTGTTACAGGCTATGTAATGTATTGATAAAATGAATTATATTATCCTGTATTTCTCTTTGTATATAACTTTTCGTTCAATATCGTATGTATATTTGTATATAATCGTATGTACATACGGCTTGAATGGATATATACATCCATTCAAGCCATATGTGCATCTGATTATTATTTGTCATATAAACAACTGGCTGTAAAATGATCAATACTAATAAGTAGTCAACAAATAAATGGTGAAAAAATGAGAATAAAATCAGAAAAAAATTTAATGTTAAGCAGGTGTGGTTAAGCTGCATTTAACCATCTGTCTCTTTGTAAAAAGATATTTTTATTATAAAAATATATTCATTGAAAGTTCTATTTTTCTGAATATTAAAGTCTTATTAATCAAAATTTTTTGTTGCAAACTTACAAAAAAAATTCAATTTAGTCCAAATGTGAGTTTGAAAAATATGAAACATGCAAATTTTGTTTGACACCTGTGAAAATACTCCCATAACTTTCACAATAAATGATTAAACAGTCAATCAATTAGTTAATTAATTAAATAATACTAATTAGAGATGTATAAACAAATTAAATTGAAATTAAAATGAGTATAACAAGTATCTATGTAGCAAAGAAACAACTTCTATATTTGGAAACCAGAGGTAAACATTTTCGAAAAAAATACACATACATTACTTTCTGTATATACAGAAATAGATAATATACAAACATGCAAGAATACAAGTGTACGAATGAATACCATACCATAATAAGCCAAATACATGCACATAAAAACGCATACGGTGGACATTAATGTATGAAGTAGAATAATTATTTTGACTGACTGGTATGTCTGTAATGCTTGTATACATAACAGATCATCTCACATATGTGTAAAACATTTAACAGACATGCTATTGTTTGTAAGTACGACAAGCAGATATAAAATTGTAAAAGTCAGAGCAGTCATAATAAAATAACAAGTGAATTAGTCACTCGTTATTCAGTTTCATCGTCTGATTGTACAGTTTCATCACCTAATCACCAGTTGAAACGACCTCTCCAACAGTTATCTGAGTGACAACATCATCATTGGACAGCACCATCATGTTATTACTACTGATAACAGCACTACTACTACTGCTACAACTATTAGTATTATTACTGCCATTATTGCAACTAGCACCGGATGAATGGGCTTGTCTCATGTGTTGCCTCAGAGCCCTTAAATTGCTGAATACTTCCCCGCACTCAAGACATTGTTTTGGTTGCTGTTGTTGTTGCTGGGACGTGGATGTCTGATACTGTTGCTGGTCATATGTGTTGTCGGAGAGCTCACTTTTCTGTATGTCGTGATTGCAGATTGGTTACAAAAAATGTGATGGTGCAGTGAATTGAGTTAGTAGTGTTATGTAGTGATGAGAAGTAAAATAAAAATTAAATGTAATATGGAACAAAAAATGTACAATATAAAATTATGAATACAATATAATAAAATATATAATTGGTAGTAAAACATAACATATTAATGAGAAAGTAAGAAATATATGAACTTTCCAGAAAAAAAACAAACATAAACAAACACATACAAACAAAGCACACAAACAAACCAAGTTTTCAATGGTTATCGTGGGCTCTTCTTTGATGTACCTCAGAGCAGGCATCTGTGAGTGTTTATAGTTGTTGTCCAGTTATTCAGTTGTCAATTGAACAGTCGGTTAGGTGACTATACTTTTTAAAAATTGAATTCTAAACTGATTTATTAATTTTGCTTTTTAATATTAAATAATAAAATGGTAATATATATCTATTTTAAATTAATTTCTGCTAACTCTATTTTGGCAGGCAGTCAGTGAGTCTTGTACAATGTCTTCCAGATTACTTTGGAGCCCATCAGCATCTATCATTTCATTCGCAACGTTTCTGTTATGATTGTCAGAGAATTCACTTTTAATTCTAACTGGCCTGTAGTCAGTTTCTTCATCAGATAGAACAAACACATCACCTGGCCTTGTATAATTATTATTAGCACGAGAGGATCTTGGATTTGATTGCTGCCATTGTTGATTCTCTGTTGGTTCTTCTATGTCTATTTCCTGTTTTACTGGAACTAACCGACGTTTTTGCGGAGGTTGATTGTTGGCCGACATTGGCCTCGATTCGTTGTCAGTTGTCTCAACATCTTGCATGTAATCTACTCTTTGGGCTCTTTTTTGTATTGGCACTGGAGATGACTGAAGCCTGGGGTGAGGCGACTTTTTCTGAGGAGTAAAAAACTTTAAATTTTGTTTTGCTTTGGCTTTGTTTGGTGTCAAAAACTGACTTGGAATCTTCATCCTGGCTGAAGTGCCCCTCTGAGGTGTGCCCCTTCCTCTCCCTGCCAGTGGGGCCCTAACAAAAGGTGGTCTTTGAACACTTTGAAAATTCATACCGCCATTCATCATCATTGGAAACATAGCGCCAACAGAAGAGTTGTTGCAGTTGCTGCTGTTAGAGTTGTCATGATGATTGTGATAACTTTGTTGTTGAAAGTTGTTACTATTTTTAGTGATCAGTTCGTCAATTGGGATAACCATAAAATTGGTTGAATCAGATGTCAGTGCAATCAAGCCTTGTATTTTCAAATCGTTCATGTGCCTCACGTTATTTTTACAGAGCAGTGTGATGGTTTCAATCAAATTCTTCGAGAAATATTCATTTTCATCATCCTGCTGATGGTGATTCTGAAATGGAAAGTGATAGAAGCGGAAGATCATCAATGATTTGATTAATGCAGTGAAAATCTGTATTTAATTTATATTTAAAGCTTACTTCGAACATCATTGTTCACTAATCCGGAACGGCCAAATCTAATCAGAACCGCCAACCTCCAACATAAACGTCTCTTATCTTAAACGACCAGCAGATTTTTATGAGTGATATTATAAGTTTGAAGTAAAATCGATTTTAGGTGGATGTTCACCTTTCACCAGTACATAATTTTATTTTTTGCTTTTTACGTGTTAATCATTCATACGCTTTATACGAGAATTTAAATTTAACGGCTAATTTGATTGGTTTATTGATTGTTTATATATATATATATATATATATATACATATATATATATATATGTATTTATATATATATAAATTCTTTCATATATATTTTAACAGACGTTTATATGTAGACGTTTATTTGGGTCTGTTTGTATGTTTGAAAGTGTTTTTTGAAGTCAGTGCAATGAATGCATGCGCGTAAAACAAACAATACGGTATATAATTGAATTTATAATATAATATATATATATATGTCATTAAAGAGAGCCTCGTTCCTATATATGTATATATATATATATATGTATATATATATATAGATAGATAGATAGATAGATATCTTTAATATGTATATAAATGTTTGATAGCAATGGTTATATATGTATATATATATAAAATTAATAAATATAAATGGTTATTCTTTTCAGACGGCTTGCATTTAAACTATATCTTATATATATATGATATCTATCTTATATATATATGATTAATATATTTATTTATTTATATATATTATATATGTATAAATTTCTTTGCAACTTGTTAAATTAAAGCCTAGGTCTTTTTTCTCGGTGATTTCTGACTGCAATCAATATGGCGACGGTTTAAAATTTTCTTCTGGTTTTCGTTTTACTTTATAAAATATATTTTTATGATCTGGTTGTTGGTATAAGTAAACTATTTATTGATTTTTTTACGACGGTTCATTCGTTTGAAATTTATTTTAATTTTTCTAATTTTTTTTTTCAATCACTTTCAATCACAATCAATCTGGCAGATAACTCCTAATCAAAGTTTCAATGAAGAGAAGGCTGCCCAGGATCTGCGCAAAGCCATGAAAGGACTTGGTCGGTTTTTTTTATATTTTTTAAAAATATTCATTCAACAAAGTTTGAGCTCTATTCAATTCAGTTGTCAAAAGACACTTTGACATCTTATAGAAGGCAAATTCTAAATTTTAGAATTTAAAAAAATTATCATTTCTTTTTCTTTTTCATCTTACTGATTGTCCGATTGATTATTATTCATCTTGCCATTTTTTGATGTTAGGCACTGATGAGGATGCCATTATAAAAGTCCTGGTTGCCCACACCAACAGCCAAAGGCAGAAGATCATTGTTAAGTACAAGTCTATCTTTGGAAGAGTGAGAAAATATTTTCTTAATTTTTTATATTCATTATTTTTATATTTTATACTGAAAATGTTTTGATTTTTTCATTAAGTTTACTTTCAATTCGGTTTACTAATAACGGATTTTTAACTCAAGAGGTCACTTAATTATTTCCCCATTTCTAAGGATCTGATTGCAGATCTGAAATCGGAGTTGAGTGGCAAGTTTGAGGATGCCATCATTGCAATGATGTACGAACCGGTCAAGTTCATGGCCAAAGAACTGAGAGATGCCATGAAAGTATGTGGGCTGTTTCAGTTTTTAGAATTTTAATTTTTCAGGATTTTCAAATTTATTAATATTATTTTGTTCACATATTTTGTTCTTTTTACATATTTTGATCCGATTGGTTTACGTAATTTGTGGTTATTTTTGGTTTAATATCCCATCTAATGTTATTTAGGGAGCAGGCACCGACGAATCGGTGCTGATAGAAATATTGTGTGCCCACAACAACAATGAGATCAAGATGATCAGACATGCCTATGAGAATTCCGGTATATACTTATGCTCTTGTTTATTTGGCTTTCAATATTGTTTCACTTTGTAGCTTTTTTGATTGAATTATAGAGTTTTTTTTCCTGTTTTTCAGTTTATTGATTAAAATATTCATAAATTTTGGTCTGTTTTTTTTAATAAATTCAATTACATTATATGTTCTTATCTATTTGTTCATCTGTCTATCAATCTATTTATTTCTTCACCTGTCTATGTATTACACTGCTTGTTGCTTGTTCTTATCAGCCTATTTATCTACTCATCTATCAACCTTATCCAATCACTTAATTAAATATCCATTCTTTCATCCAGCCTTTGTTTGTTCATTCATTCGTTCGTTTATTCATTCATTCATTATTTTATCAATTCATCTATCCACTAAGAACACAAGAGAAATCTAGAGAAAGACATAAAGAGTGAGACAAGCGGCCATTTTAAGCACCTCCTGGTTGCCCAGTGCAATTCTGGCCGGGATGAAAATAACGTAGTTGACCATGCAAAAGTGGATACTGACACTAAGGATTTAATTGCGGTGTGTATACGTGTGTGTGTGTATGTGTATGTCTGTGTATGTGTGTGTGTGTATATGTCTGTGTGTTTTTGTGCTTGTGTATGCCTGAATGTGTTTTTTTGTTCTAAGTGCAGGGATGAAAATGTTTTTTTAGAAAAAGTTTAATTCCATACTCAAGAGTTAATTAAGTTGTTTGGGTGTGCTTGCTTGCTAAATGTTTGTATGCATTTGTGTTTGCGTGTGTTTATTTGTGTATATATATATATATATATATATATATATATATATATATATATATATATATATATATATATATGTATATATATGTGTGTGTGTGTGTGTGTGTATGTGTGTGTGTGTGCCTGTGTGTTTGTGTGTGTGTGTTATACATAAGTGTAATAATTTTTTCTGTTGTCATTGCTGTTACATTACCATCCCTTTGTTGTTAGTTATTCTACTGCTACTTACTACTACTACGTACTACTACTACTTACACTAATACTACTTCTACTACTACTATTACTGCTAGAAGTTCTGTCCACTGAAAATTTTGTAATATGTAATAACATGAACTAATACTTTAACCCTTCTACTGTGTGCTGTTTAATGATATAGTTATGATAATGATACTACTACTACTACCACTACTATTACTATTACTACTACTAATAATAATAATAAAAATAATAATAATTTTTATAATACCATTACTACTAATCATAAATAGCAATTATTATTATTATTTTGGCGATAATTATTATTATGTAAGATCATGTGCTCTTTAAATTTGATTTGATCATTCAGTGGATCTGTCGGCTGCTTGACGCAGATGATGATGGTGATGATGTTGATGATGATAGTGATAACGACGATCATTCTTTCAGTCTATTATCCAATCAATCAATCAATCAATCAATCGAACGATCGATCAATCAATGACGTCATCAAATTAATCAATCAGTTAATTAATACGTATCAGGCAGGCATAAAAATGTTGGGCACGGACGAGGCAGTTTTCAATCGCATCTTCTGCACTCGCAGTTATCCCCACCTGAAAGCCGTCTTCGAGAGGTACAGACTGGATACTAAGAAGGTTTGTTTTGTGTGTGTGCGTGCGTGCGTGCGTATCCGTGTGTATGTGAGTTTGCGTGCGTGCGTGCGTGCGTGCGTGTGTGTGTGTGCGTGTGTTTGTGAATGTAAAGTTATAAAATTAATAATTACCAGATTTTAAATGCACACCATGGTTACTAATAGACTCAATTGAAATTACAAACAAAATTACTTAACTAAACACTATATAAAATGAATTATGGTTAATATTAATAATTATTACGATAATTAAAATAATTATAATATTGATAATTATTTTTGTATTAATAATTAAAATAATTATATCTGTCAGGGCATTGCTGATTCAATTGAAAGTGAGATGAGTGGAAGCCTAAGGGAAGGCTTCCTAGCTCTTGGTGAGTCATAGAATATTACAGATTTACATTCTTTACATCCTTTTACGCTGCGTAGAGCTTTACAGACCACGGTTTACGTCCATTTATTTTACAGGAATTCGCTGAAAATTATCTCTAGATTGTTGTTTATAATTTTGTTAAAATTACAGTCGATTATATCTGGGATCCAATTGGTTACTATGCCCAGCGACTCTACAAGAGTATGAAGGGCACTGGCACTGATGACAGAACCCTCATCAGGGTCATGGTCAGCAGATCAGAGGTCAGTTGGGGTTATTTATTTTATTTTGGTTTTTTTTTTCTTCAACATTTTTTTACTAGTTTGCCAGGCATCTTGACCATTGCACCACCACGCATGTTAGGATTTTATTATTTCTTAACTGAAAAGTCAAATTTTTGCTGTGTTGTTTTGTGCTTTTTTTTTACATATTTTTTCTCAATTTTTAAGATCGATTTGAAGGATGTTTCTAAAGCATTTGCCAGAAAGTATGGAAAGTCGCTGGCCGATTTTATCAAGGGTGACTGCAGTGGTGATTACAGGAAGCTGCTGCTCGCCATCTTGGGAAATAATTAAGAGTTTGATTGGTTGATTGAGTGGTTAAGTGGTTGTTTGGCTGGTTATTTTGTTGGCTGGTTGGTTATTGTTGAGTTGGTTTGTTTACTGATAGATTGGTTGGTTAGTTGGTTGGTCGATTGATTGATTGATTCAGTGATTTAGTTTATCAGTTGGTTGATTGACCAACAAGTATATAAGTTTGATATAAGGAACGTTTTCATCTTTTCAATCAAATTCAAATCATATTAATTATTCACACTTAACTAATAATATTACAAAACGTTACGTGATCTTACCGCCGTAGCTTTTACTTATAGTTTATACTTTTTCGACTCATGTTGATAATATTTCAAAATGCTTCCCAAGGTTTTCAGTATATGTGAGCCTTATGTTACATGTATATATATATGTACATGTTATATATATATATATATATATATATATATATATATATATATATATATATATATATATATATATATATATATATATATCTTCTTATTGGTGATAAGTGAGAGTAAATATTTTTTTTACGTAATTATTTAATTAATTAATTAGTTTGTTAAATTGCTTTTGCAATAAATTTTAATTACGAAAATAATGTCAGCAATTTGTTTTTTTTTTGTTACAAGATCTGCTTGCTTTCTGTTCCTATATATTTTCTTACGTTAATAAATTTACATATATATATATATATATTTTTTATAGTGCCCACACACACAAACCCACACACGTATATTTACACACACTCACACACACACACATATTGTATTGTATGCATAAAGTGTTTACACAGCATTTTTTAATATTATTTAATTAAACTCGTGGCGTATGTGTGTGTGTAAACCCACACAAACACAAACCCACACACGTATATTTACACACACTCACACATATTGTATTGTATGCATAAAGTTTTTACACAGCATTTAATATTATTTAATTAAACTCGTGGCGTATGTGTGTGTGTGTATGTGTGTGTGCATGTATGTGTGTTTAATTATTTCACAACCAACCTGATCACACTCAAAATTGATAGTTTTTTTTATTGTTTTGTAATGCTTTAGAAGACTTACATTGAAAACTTTTGAAATTTATTTGTTGTATTATAGAGGGTTGTATTATAGAGGGTTATATTCAAGTGTAAACATGTTTACACGTACACCTAGACACAAATACGTATGTATACACTAATGTGTTTCAGTGTTTGTGTGTGTCTGTGTGTAACCGGTTCTTAATTATTATTTATATTTTAATGATGGTTTCTTTACATTACTTATCTTCTGTGTTTAGATCTTGAGCTTTTTTTTTTGATAAATTTGAGATGATTGTGACTTGAAATTCATCAGCGTTTAATTCGTTACTAATTGTATCTTGTTTTTTGTTTAGTTAGAATAAATGGTAGAAGTCGTTCAAAGTTACGTTCATTCTATTTGCATTTTATTATTCTAACTCTACATTTTTTTATACTTTTTCGCTTGCTTGGAGAAATAAAACAAGAAGGTAGTTACGGAAAACAAGCGTCATTTGTTCCTCTTTCATGAATCACCCGGATGTAGAGACTACTTTTACTAATTGTCATCTTCCTACTTCCACTCAACCTTAATCTCTCCGTAGGACTTACGATGAGAAGTCGTGAACATCCAACATCTCCACTCCACTTTATAACCATTTCATTTCTATCACCGACGAAAATATCGAGACTACAGTTTTTGTAGTCGAGACCATATAGAGCCATCGAGCTAATGTCGGTCGGTAGTTCCGGATTTATTAGCAACTTATCGCGGTATATTCGAATACCGAAATACCCAAATATAATGGATTGCAGGTACCCGCCCATACCCGTTATAAAATTCGGAGCGCCGTGTCCTCCCTTTACTTCCGTCCACACCTTCGCAATAAAAATTGCAAAGTCGGTAGTGATAAATTGAATAAATGAAACAAAGATAGCTGAACAGCAACGTGTTTTCTTACTTGAAAATCTCCAGTCACGTGATCGAACATTTTTTCAAAACTTCTTCTTGCCCTATCTGGTTCGTGAACTTCCAACCAGCCAACTGTAAACATGGCGTCACTCATGGCCGGGCCCTTCACCGATGTCACCTGGTTCAAGTTGGAGTGAAACATCTAATTATGCAAGTATTAGGGCTACCATTAATTTTTCATCCACCCAAGCTGAGTAAGTTAACTAACGTTTTCGTAGATTTCTAAATCTCTCCTCCTAACATCAGGCAGCATGTTGTACATCAAAGGAAATCCTAAGAGGACAACATCAGCCTGTTTGACGATTTTCCCTGTCGAATAAATTGATAAAATTGACTGTGTCTTTATTTTACGGTTACACATTTGCATGGTGATTTATAACATATTTACTATCGAAATTAAATTGAAATTGTCATTGCAAAACATGTCTACCTAATACGTATCCGTCATATTCCGGATGGTAGTTCAGCTCCCCATCAAAAGGTACATACATTCTCTTGAAGGTGTTCTCGTAAACGGTTGAATTTGGCAATTTGAGACATTCAGCTACCTCGAAAGCCAGTTTCAAACTAATTCTCGCTACGACGTTTGTATATGCGCTGTTGTTGACGCATCTGGAATATTCGTCTGGGGGCATAACGCCTGGTTCCAATTTAAATTTAAAATTTCTCAAAAAAGATTTTAGTGAAAAACGTTTTTCCATAAACAAAATATTGTACAATATAAATAAGGAATGAATTAATATTTGCACATACGATGAGTCCTTACATGATATTTCGAATCTCAAACATGAATTATTCCAGACGGATCTACTCAGCCAGTAATCCGCAATACCGATTATCAGTTTTGGAACTTGGCTCAAGTCTTCGTGGTTGTGGTAAAATACGTTTCAAGATAATTTTAGTTAAATGGTAGATAAAACCCTCGCTAACAATGTTATTAAATTATTGGATAAGTGCTAAACTTTATAAAATAGCATAAATGATTTATTTTTCTGTTTTATTTTATATAATTATAAATTATATTTTAATTTGATTTATTTTGTTCAACTATGGTAAAAATGTTAACTTGCGCTGACCATTGCCCTGGCAAGTGAGGTTGTGGTCAGTGACTCTCAAATACTGCAGGACTGCCAGTGAGATGTCTCCGTTGATGTGAATTTCACGAATCCCACACTCCCTATCCGGAGATACTTCGATCCCTGAATCAGTTTTTTTTTACACAAAAGTCATCGAAACAACAACATACAAATAATTAAGTATAAAAAATGTATGCAATTTACTTACTTAATTAATTTTAATAAACGTAAATACTGGTAGGAAGTTAGTTATTTAATTAAACTAAATTTCGAAAATTGAATCGGTAAAAAACCTGTCAGTGCACTCTCCCACGGATACTTCATTCCAACAAATCCTTCAATTTTCGCGTTTTCTCCAGCTGTATACATGGTCCTCAATCTTGCCTGTAGCATCAGCTGAGCAGACGACTGGTGCAACATTAACAAAGGTGGGTACATCCATGTTTCCTGATCCCAAAATAGATGTCCCCTGTAAGCCTGCATGTTTTTGTGATCCTTGGTTCGTTAATTGTATCGTACGATTGATTTGTATGGTTTTTATTATTTTGAATAATCTAGTAGCGCTAATTTTAAGATAATTAACTAGAAGTTTATAAAAATTCAGACCAGCATTTAAAAATTGTGTTATTATGGAATCATAATAATTACTTTTCTATCTCCCCAACTAAGACCACTTGGACTCAATCCGGTAAATAAGTAGGATTCCATAAGGTCCTTCTGTTTCCACTGACTTTCAAATAAATTATTCTCATTTGAAAAATCCGGCAGAGACGACAGCAGGTTGTATAGACTGGAAGTTATGGCTTTCGTCAGACGTGTGGCGTTGTCACTCACTCCTTTCATTTCAATTCTTCCTTTCTTCCAGAGTTTCAACCATTTTTCTTCGTGTATTTTTCTTAATTCATCATTATTTTTTCGTTGTAAGGCCTTTCCTTTGGAAAAGTTTTATGGACGGAGGTTCAATTTTTTAGTTTAATTTGAATGTTTGTGTGTACATTTATTTACAATGATACATTGGATTAGATCGCTTCAAACAACAAACCGATAGATTTATGAGAAAAAGAAAGAGAAAGCAAGAGAAACAATTAAAATAAATGTATTTATTTATTTAACCATTCAATCAATCAAACTACCCAACTTATAAGCTTTCAAAACGACATCTTTCGAGAAATGAACCGATGTCAGGTAGCTCCATGTTTTACTCCGTTCAAATTTTTGAAGGACCAACTGATTAGGGATGACGTCATGAATCCAATGAATTGTTTGCAGAGAGGAGTGTTTGATGGATTCTGCTTCTAAAGTTGTCCCGGAATAAAATCTTGAATAATTGAAATATATCTACATGAAATTTTTATATTTAATAGTACTACTACTATTACTACAACAACAACTACTACTACTAATAATAATAATAATATAATTTTCACTTTGTGTTATTAAACGGACTTTCAAATTCTACGACCTTCATATCTTCCGACTGACAATTTCTCGATATATTCAACTGGATAGTTACATCATCCCCGAATCTATCGGATAATTTTAAATGATGGGATTTATAATCATCAATATTTGACGAGTCGGTATTCGATCGAGTACTTTTTGATAATTTGTTTTGATACTTTCGTTTTATTTTGGCTTGAAACACCAGAAGGGGCAATATGGATCTATGAACGTACCAGGATAACGTAAGGCAAAACATTTTGTTGGTGTGTTTTTCCGTAAATATTCCTGATAAAATTTTTGTCACATTATTGTTATTATTAAATTGTTATAATAATATTTATATTATTATTATAGCTATTATTATAAATTAAGCTATTAATAATAATAAAGTTATTATTATTTTTACATTTATCTCAATTTCACGACAACTTAAAACCACATTACCTACCTACTCTAGTATCCAGCTGATAGCTGATTTTAAACCGATCCAGAACCGTATTTTCCGATACCGGTTCGACAACAGAAGCAGATGCAGAAATACCGATCAAATACAGACTCGTTGTACTCGGTATTTTCGCTCGGTGTGAGTTACGTTTGGCTCCATTGTAGAAACCGCTGACGTAAAACCATGGATATTTAAGTACCATCCCTAAATGACCGTTGCCTAGCGATGGAACGCTTGACCATCTGTGCGGCCATCTTTAATTTTTTTTAATTAAAAAAATGTTTTTTTGTAATTTGTTTGTTTTATTCGTCCGTCTATTCATTCGTTTGTCATCAATTTATTCATCAAAACTTTTATTTATTCGTTAATTTCTTCAATAAATCGTTAACTAATACACCCTTAGACTTAATTTAGGTTTCTAAGCACAGAAATACATACTTCAACACTTCAATTATTTCAAATAAGTAATTCGATTAAATATTTTAAAATTTTAAATAAGTAAGCAATTTGAACAGGCAATCTAAATTAGTAATCAAAATTACTAATCTCCCCTGTTAAATCTTACTTCTTAGATTCATAAACATACACTCGTCGATCTAGATGGTGATGGTGATTGAAGCTTTGATTACTTTTAAATGCAGTGGTAGTATTACCAACTATTTCGAATGTTAGTAAAAGTAGTAGCAGAAGCAGTGTCTGTGGTAGTATTCGTTGTAGTAGGAGTGGCTGGGGTCGTTTTCGTTCTTGCGATATCATTCTTTTAAAGTTATTTTACTATTTTTGGAGGTATTTTTGTAGTTTTACAAACATTAAAATGAAAAATAATACTTTTAATGTGTCTTTAGGCTCGTTATTGCAATAAGCAAATAAGTAAAGTTAGTATTACTAACTATTATTATTATTACTATTACTACTTTAGTATTTAGTGGTATAGTATTTTAAAATTAAAGGCATGTACAAACAGATTCAACGTTTAAATAATGTTAAAACCTGATATTTTGATGATAACAACAAGAGGCACATGACTCTTACAATGTGCTGATGAGTTCATTTAAACACAAAATGCCATGCTAGCGTTATGTGTTGAATGTTAATTTATCTATCTGTGTAAAATTCATTCATTCATTCATTCGTTCATTCATTTGTTCATTCGTTCGTTCGTTAACTCATTCTTTCGTTCATTCACTTATATTCATACGATTTGTTGTATTTAAAATCGTTTTAAAATAATGAAAAACAGATCGAGATGATGTGATTTTTGTGTCACACCGTCTTCCTAAGTATGGATGTTTTTATTGTAAATACACCAGTTCGTACAGAAAGCGCTGATGTCGTTGTTAAAATAACGTATGTACTTATAAAAACAGCATTAGTACTTTTAGTACAAATATATGTACTTACAAATGGAATATATGTACTTACAATTGGAATATATGGACTTACAATTGGAACATATGTACCTCTTAGTCTTACAATTGGAACATATGTACCTCGTACACTAATATCACATGTAGGCCTATTTGTAAATACAGTTAAATCATCCGTTCTTACAGTAAAAACATGTACTTATATTAAGGTCCTACGTACTCACAGTAAGTACATCTGTACTTAATAATAACTTTGTGTACTTATTTCGTTAATTTGTGTTTGACCAACTACTCATTCGGTTACCATGGCAAAAATTAAGCACTCGAAATCATCGAGTGGAGTGAAGCGCTAGATAAATATATATGTATATAGTATTTATTATATTATTATTTTTATTTATATTATTATTTTTATTAATATTATTATTGTTTTAAAATTATTATTTAAAAAATATCTTAGTCTCTCTCTCTTTTTAAAATTTCTTGGTCTCTCTCTCTCTCTCTTTTAGTTTTTTTCTATGTCGTTCTCTCATCTTCTTATTCTCTTTCTATTCTGTTGTTTCTTTCTTTCTTTTTTGTTCTATGTCTCCTCTCTCCCTCCCTCTTTCTCTCTTCCTCTCTCTCTCTCTCTCTCTCTCTCTCTCTCTCTCTCTTCCCTATCTATCTACCTACATATCTGCACATAAATATTTTCTGTCTCTTGATTACAGTTTTAACGATGATACTTCTTGGTGAGTGTGTTCAGTCTGAAGAGGTTGATTGAATGACGTCCACTGTTTAACTTTAAATGTCTAAATGGATGTCAGATTGTGATATCATTGAGTTTCGAGTTTGCCATAGAACGATGGAGAATTTTTAACTTTGAATTTTTTAGAATTTTGTGCACTGGTTCATTTATTTTTCTGTTCTTATGAATTCTAAAGAAAAAAATTTTTTTATGGTTAATATCAGTATAATTATATAATTTTATTAATTATATAATTATAACATATCGAAAATAATTGACATGGGTTGCGACTCGAGTAAATCAGTAGCGGTTGTCGAAAATAAACCGGAAGCGAAAGCGGAAAAGGATAAAAGTCAGTCAAATTATTATTATCATTTTCTTCTTATTATCATTGTTATCACTGATTTGTTATTATTTGTGTAAATATTTTCATTATCCTCGTTGTTTTTATTACTATTAATTCGTTAAATGTATCAGTTGTGAAGCTGGTTAGCGTATTAATTATTTTCACTCATTAAGTTAATAACTGTTTTTCAGTTAAAAAAAACTAAAAAAAAACTCACACACTCACACACACATTATATATATATATATAAACTCACACACATGCAGAATTAGAAAAACACGACCGCTAATGAATTTATTTTCACAAAGTTTAAAAAAAATTCAGTCATTATCAACTTCATTTATAATTGACTTTGTTACGTTAATAAGGTTCTAAAGATGAGGTACCAAAAAACGAAGTATCAAAGGAAAAAGAGCCAGACAATAAAACATCAGACAAAAAAGAGCCAGAAGAAAAAATGCCAGACAATGAAGAACCACAGAATAAAGTACCAGACACCAAAAACGTAGTACCGGACAAAAATAAACCAGACAATGAAATACCAGACAGCCATAAACCAGGCAATGAAATACCAGATAACCATAAACCAGGCAATGAAGTTCCAGACAGCAAAAACGTAGTACCAGACGAAAAAGTACCAGAACCAGACAAAGAAACGCCAGACGAGAATGTACGAGATGAAGAAGGTAAGTTGAACAAACAAGCAAGTGATTAGTTAAAATATGAACTTGCACTTAAATATTAACCACACTGCGATACATTCAAATGGATGAACGAATAGATGAATGAATGAGTAAATGAATGAAATGAATGAATGGATGAATGAGTTAATTAATTAATTAATTAACATTGAATGAAAAAATAACAATAATTAATCTTTCCATCTTCTAGATCAAATGAACAGGGAGGAGAAATCAAAGAATAACTTCAAGCTGATGAAACAAAGACAATATACACACCAAGATGATGATGATTATGATGACAATTAATTATATAATTAATCAAATTATATTATTTAATTATATCAATTAACTATTTAAACTAAAAAATTAAATTTTTTCTTCTGTGTCCAGAGCAAGCTATCTCTATATAGATATCTCTAAATAGAAAATTTGTTGAAAGATACAACAAAATAACTGAGTGAATGAATGAATGAATGAATGAGTGAATGAATGAATGAATGAATGAATGAATGAATTAATTAATTAATTAATTAATTAAGGGATTGAGTCTATTATAGAAATGTTATAACAAATATATACAAATATTTTTACAATTCGTTATTTTTAACTGAAACTTTAATGCCTGTAGCATGATAGCATGAAGAAGACCATTAAATCAAATGACATATTTTATTGTTAATCTCTCTCTCTCTCTCTCTCTCTCTCTCTCTCTCTCTCTCTCTCTCTCTTTTGATTTGTAATATTCATTATGTTTGTATAGAACTTATAGAGTTGCATAAAAAGATAACATTGTGTTGACTGTATTGTATTGTATTGTGTTTATTTGTTTATGTAGATTAGTATGTATTTTATGTATATGTGTGTTTGTAGAGAATATATATAGTTGCTTACAAGGATAACATTGTATTGTGTGTAATACTTGAAATACTATGTATGTATATACGCATGTATATATGCATGCATATGTGTGTCTATATAGGTATGTAGGTAAGTATGTTTTTTTTATGTACGTGTCTGTTGAAATAGATGAGTTTGTATGTTGATTGTTTTGACATGGCTAAAATTGAATGATTCCGATCCTTTCATATTTCAAGTTGCCTTATTAGCAGTGGTGTTATCATCTCCTTGGGTGACAAATATTTAACAGGATAAAATAAAAACTTGGATAAATACTTAGATAAATAAATGAATGATTGAACGGTCAAGCAAACAAATGGATGAATGAATGATCGATAAAACGAACAAACAAAGGAAAGAACAAACAAAGGAAAGATCAAACAAATAAAAAACAACAAGTCTAGATGTCAATAAGAAGCGAATTCAACGAGAATAGGAGGGGGTGGATAGTTTTCATCAGCGTCGTCTTCATCACCATCACCAGGGCTGGCTTCTACTACAGTTTCGGCATCATTGTTGCCAAACTAACCGAAGAGTTTAATGAGTCCGTTGCTCTGACAAGTAATTATATTTAACTATAATTAATTTATTTCAATTAATTAATTATTCAATTAATTAGTCAATAACTAACAATGGTCATTATTAATAGGGATGCACCGAAGTTCGGCCCCGGCTCCGGCCCCGGCCAAAATCCGGCTTTTTTTTCAAATCCGGTCGAATCCGGCCCCGGCCAGATTTGGTGGCCGGATTTAGGGCCAGATTTAAGCGTCTATCAACTTTTAAAAATGTTAGAAATAGAAAAAAAAATTTTATTGAATTCAATTAATTTTATGTCAATAAGTTAATGGCTAAAGCTAAGCTAAAGGCATACATGACACATAATAACATCACTAATTGTGAGGTGATCTGGACAATTTTCTTTATGCTATAACATGGGTTATGCATAAATTATAAGCTGATCTTTGTGTAAAAGAACTTGTGCACGTGTATATACTATATATTAATAATTGCACATGACGGATCATATAGTTACATAATATATATATATATATATATAAAGATATATATATATCTATATATATATATATATTTAGAGAGAGAGAGAGAGAGAGATACATGAGCACATAATTTAAGAACATGGTATGTTAAAGGTTAGGCTAGGTATACATGACACATGATTACAACATCACTAATTGTGCGGTGAGCTGGACAATTTTCTTTGTGCTTTAACTTGGGTTATGCAAATATGCATAAATTATAAGCTGATCTTTGTGTACAGAATTTGGCGTATCACACAGCTTATTCATATATTTGAATTAAATAACTATTTGCTTGGTGTTATTTTTTGATGTTCAACATGTAGATAAGCGGAAATGTGAGTATTTTTTCTAACGTATGTAAAATGGTAACTAAAATCCGGCCCCGGCTCCGGCCCCGGCCGGTTTTTGAATTTCAAATCCGGCCAAGTCCGGCTCCGGCCGGATTTGAAAAACCTGAATCCGGTGCATCCCTAATTATTAATAATGTAAACACAGTCATTGTCTTTAATTTAATCCTTTAACCGATCGATAAATCATATACTTTATATCTCAGACAGACGGACAAACGGTCGGACAGACAGACAGTGAGACAGACAGACAGATACAGACAAACACAGAGACACACATTCACACACACACACACATACACACACAAGAACACACACACACTCACACAGGTTGGGTAGGAATCGGCGCAATAGCGATAACAAACACCTTTTCCTTCGTCCCGACCCTGGTCATTAGACGCCTCGGACGCTGCGGCTATCGCGTTTGTGGTATCGTCGGTACTGTATTGGAAGGTATTGGACTGTTTAGTACCTCTTGCATGCAGAAAGTACCTCACATGTTTTTCACATATACCATTTTGTTCGGTGTCGGTTCTTGTTTCGTTAACATGGCTTCAAATCTCATCGTGACCGCGTTTTTCCCGCGTGGTCATAAGAGGCATGTTTTTGCTACGACCAGCGTTTACTGTGGGTACGCTATCGGTTGGTTAGCTTCATTTAGACGTTGTTTAATTGATTGATTTTTTGATTGATTGATTCCTTTTGATAATTGATTCGTGGATTTTTTTTTAAAATTTATATTGTTCAGTTTAGATGGTTTAGATTGTTCAGTTTAGATTACAGTTTAGATTGTTCAGAACGAAAATTGTTTGTGGGATTTTTGTGTATAATTTGATACAAGCCACTAGCAAAATATCATATATTTTAATTTTTACTAATGATACGAACGAGTTGTAATAACCCAATCATCATCAACAAAATACAGATATTTTAGTAGGTTTTTTAAGATCGAGTGTTGCACTTCAAAAATTACACTACATAAATGTCTTTCATTGATTGATTTGATTGATTATTCTTTAAATAAATTTTTATTTTTTTTATTATTATTAATTATATAATTTATTTATTTATAAATAATAATAAATAATAAATTTATCAATTCAATCTCTATGCATGGATTTTTTTAATTAAATAAATAATATAGAAATTTAATACATTTCTCCTGGAATTTAACAGCCAGCTTGATTTACAACCCATTAACGAACACCGTTGTTGAAGGTCTCTCGTGGAGAGTGGCCTTCCAAGCCCAGGCCACCCTCGTCATCCTGGTCGGAGTTGCTGGTTCCTGGACCTTCGTCCCGAATGTTCGAAAGTTTAAATTTTGAAATATTTGATGATTCATTGTCAAATTATCAATTCAATCTCTATGCATGGATGCATAGATGGATGAATGTGTAGATGAATGGATGCATAGATGGATGAATGTGTAGATGGATGAATGTGTAGATGAATGAATGTCTGAATGAATGAAAAATTAAATGGATGGACGGAATGAATGGATGGATAAATGAACTACATCTGGAAAAAAATTTTCACAAAAAAATTTAATTGTTCTAACGAAAGAATGAAGATAAAGAGAGCAAACCATTAAATGCTGACCAACACTTCAATCACACAACTGATGTTGAAACTTCAACAAAACAACAACAACATTATCGTCATCATCAAGAACAACAACAACAACATCAACAACAACCTCACGAAAACCTACAACAAGATGAATCCAACTCTATGAAATCGAACGCTAGAGCATTCTTGAAATTGGACGTTGTCTGCTGGCTCGTTGCTGCATACTTCAATGCCATCTCTTACTTCACTCCATTTTTCATACTGGTCTGTTTCAATTTTTTTCAAATTTTTAATGTAAATGCTTCATAAAAATCATTTTTATTCATCCTCATCACACACGTACACACAGACATACACACACACAAACACACACATGCCACACGCACACGTACACACACACAAACACGCACATGCCACACGCACTCAGCACACACACGCACCACAAACACAAAAACAGCCCCACTACATGAAGAAGAAAAACCTAACAACTTTCAACATCTCCCTCATCATGATGATGCTCAGCCTATCAGAATGCCTCATCTATCTCGTGACGTCACTTCCGGGTGATTTATTAGCGGGAAAATTAATTTACGTTCACATTACTGCTAGTTCTTTGTTGTGTCTACTCAACTATTTGTGGTCGTTGCTGGATGCAAATTATGGGATGATCCTTGCGTTAGCCATGTGTACGTTTTGCTTGCTATTTTTAATTTATCACAAAGTTTAATCATTATTATTATTATATTAAATTATCATTATGTTAAAGGATCGGTTTGAATTCAAAAGAAACTGTATTCGAACTCAAATCTCCATTTTTTCAATAATTCATTAAATCACGCGATTTCACATGAGCTCTGTGTTTTCGGCTGGTGATAGCTCTGAATAGAGCTATAACTGAAGACAACTGCCATTTTTATACAGTGAAACTATTATTTCACCAATAACTGATATAATGTGATTTTATTACTCGAGAAGCATTGATTTTGTTGAACAGCTGAAGGCCTGCTGATAGCTCTGAACTGCGTGTATGTGTATGCTTGTTCAGCCGAGGTGACGGATATCAACATTGAAATAGCTTGGTCGGTGACGAATATTTTCAGTGGATTCGGAGTTATAACTGCTCCTTTGTTCTCAGGTTTTGTTTGGATTAACTTTCTAATCATTTAGTAATAGCCAAATTATCCCTAATTAATTAGTTAATAACCTTATTAACTTTGGTTTTTTATAATTAGTTATAATTATTAATAATTATCGTAGGTTTCATTTACGATCTGACTCTATCATACTATGGAGTCTTCTTCATGATGTCATCGGTAACGCTCGTCAGCTCCATACTCTACTGCAGTATTCCGCTAATTAAGTCTTGCGGTAATAATAATAATAATAAAAATAATAAAAATATGGATAATAATAATAATAGTAATTATGGTTATCATGATATAAATAATGATAGCACTGATAATGATTATTATAATAATAATGATGCAGTGAGTGAGAAAAGAAGACGATGGTTGTGTTGGTTGTAATGGAAAAATAGGTATTTGATGTAGTTTATATTAGCGTGTAATGTGTGTGTGTGTTTGTGTACGTGTGCGTGTGCGTCTATGGCGTTTTCATAATGATGCCAGTAGTTACGCTCGCAAGCAGTTTGTTGCTAGCAGTCATACCCATCTATAAGTATCAACATCGATCATATCTTAACAGCAACAACAACAACAGCAACAACAACAAAAACCACAACAACAACAGCAACAACAGTAGCAACAACAACAGCAACAACAACAACAGTAGCAACAACAGCAACAACAACAGCAGCAACAACAACAACAACAGCAACAACAATAACAACAATAATAATAACAATAAATTTAGTTATGATAAGGATGATGATAGCAGCTGCAACAACAACAGCAACAACAATAACACCAACAACAATAATAATAACAATAAATTTAGTTATGATAAGGATGATGATAGCAGCTGCAACAGTCGGGGATCATGTGGTTTATCCGAATCCTCGATGAGAATAAACTGAAGATGATGATAATAATATAATGGAAGATAATATTAATATTATACACACACGCACATACACACACGCACAAACACACACACACACGCAGGCACAAATACACACACGCACAAACACACACACACAAACGACAAAAATTATTTGTAGAATTTTAAAAATTAATTTTAAAAATTAAACAATTTAATTATTTTTCGAATTATCTAAAACATACTTTAAACATTGACACAGAAATTGTAGTTGTTATTTAGCAAAAATGCGCTCTAGAAGTGGATTAAGAGTTCTGTATATAGGAAAACTATGTTATATATGTGTGTGTGTGTGTGTCCGTGCGTGCGTGTGTGTGTGTCCGTGCGTGCGTGTGTGTGTGTGTCCGTGCGTGTGTGTGTGTCCGTGCACGCGTGTGTGTGTGTGTCCGTGCGTGCGCGTGTGTGTGTCCGTGCACGCGTGTGTGTCCGTCCGTACGTGTGTGTATGTGCATACGTGTCGCTAAGCGTGTGTTTTGTCTCATAAACTTCCGATAAATACACAAATGGATGCGTTTTACTGTCAACTTATCGGGCTCCGATCAATATTATTGACAAAAGCTGTTGCATCTTCTCTACTACGTGTATGGATGAAATACAAATAATGTTTAAAATTTAAAAAAAAAACTCAGCATTTTTCAAATTTAAAAATTTATTTGAGAATTAAAGTCGTTCAATTAATTAATAGGTACTAATTAAGTAGAAATTTAACGTAACAAATCATTAAGAATGCCGTTTGTGAGTGAATTAAAAGACAATAAAAAAGGTTGGTTGGTTTGTTTCTGGGTTTTTCTGATGACCGTCTCTGGATTTTGATTTTTCTATAGCTACGGAATATTTGTGACAACATTTATAAAGGAATTCAATTCATCCGTAACATTAACAAGTAAGTAAAATTTGTTAATTTGATTAATTTTTTCACAAAATTAGTCAAAAGTGACATATTTTTATATTGTATATGCCATATATGCGTATATCGCATATCTTATGTCATTTTTGGAAACAATTTTGGAAAAATATAACCCCATTAAAATCAACATAGAAATTGAAATAAACAACTCATTCTAGCTGCCATAAACACAGGGGCAACAGCGGTTTCGATGCTACCTTGCATCGTTCCCACCATATTCATCAGACGCCTGGGTCGTAACAGTCATCGCGTCTGTGGTATTCTCGGTACAATACTGGAGGGAGCAGGTTTAATTTTCACGGCCTACGTACGAGAGATATCTGTAATGATTTTTATCTATACGATTCTTTACGGTATAGGGTCTTGTTTTCCTACATGGCTTCATCACTTATTCTAAGTTCTTCCCCAAAGGTCATAAGAGGCACGTAATGGTTACCACAATCATCAACAGCAGCTATGCTCTCTGTATGTTTTCGTCACTTCATTTTGATTTTTTTCTTCAAAGTTAAATATTTCGACATTTTCATATATAGTTTTTTCAATATTCGTTTGGTTTGATAGCGTACTTACTGCCAGCCTGAGTTGCCCTGACCGAGTTAGAATGCAAAGAGGTTAACGCAGCCCTTCTGTATGTAGTTGGTGAAGCTAGTGAAGCTGTAAAACCATCAACATCACCATAAGAACCACCATCACGATAACAGTCACCACCAATCCAAACCACTCAGCCACTCTGATATTTAATCCACAGATGAACTACTTGATTGAACATCTTTCATGGAGGGCTGTATTCAAAATTCAAGGCACTCTCATACTCTTCATTGGTGTCCTGGGATCTTGGACCTTCGTTTCGGATGTTTGTCAGTTTGGTTGTTTTGTGGAAGATGTTATTCTCTATTTTAAATATGAATACATTTTTGAGTTTTGATTTTTTGATTTTGTGTTATAATATTTGGGAAAACGATATTTGCTTCAAGACCGATGCCGAAGAGCGTGTAATTATTTTGAGTGAGATTCATCCAACGAACAACAGAGCTTCTCAAGATGAAAACCACCAACAGCAACAACCACCAAAATTACCGCAACAACCACAGCAGCAGCAGCAACAGCAGCAGCAGCAAACCGCAAACAAATCAGACCTCCGGTCCATCTTAAAATCTCTCGTCCGATGCAACGTCTTCTGCTGGTTCTTCGGACAGTTCTTCAACTCCATCTTCTATTATGCGCCTTTCAACATTTTGGTCGGTGAACGTTTTTTAACACGAAACATTATGAAGTTTCATAAGAAAAATTTTCAACTTTTGTAATTTATTAACTATAAACTTTATCAATTTCTAAACATCAAGTGTTAAATTTAGTAATAAGAAACACCTCCAAACACACACACGCACACACCATACTCACATATACGCACACACACGCACACATGCAAGCATACACGCACTTTCGCACGACAGCCTCACTACATGACGACAAAAAACTTGACAACATCCAATATCTCCTTGGTGATGACGATGCTCAGCCTATCGGAATGCCTCCTCTACATAGTGACGTCACTTCCGGGAGATTATTTGGCGGGAAAATTAATTTACGTGAACATCTGCGCATGTCTGCTGGTCTCCATTTTGAATCTCTGCTGGCCATTTCTTGATTCATCAGTTGAATGGATCGTCGGTTTAGCGATAGGTAATATGATTATAGCATCGTAATGTTTGGTGTTTATGTGTGTTTTATGTTTTATGTGTGTGTGTGTGTGTGTGTGTGTGCGTGGGTGTGCAAGCATTGAAAAATGAAGCGTTAATATTTTACTGTAGGTTCGTTAAGCATTTGCACAGCAACAAAGTTTTTAACATCAATAATAAATCCTACTAACAACGTACAAACAGCTGATGGCATGTTGCTGGCGACGAGCTACGCGTATTTGTTCGCGTGCTCATCCGAAGCGACCGGCCTTGACATTGACCTTTCATGGTCAGTTAGTAATACCTCTTCGGGGTTCGCGACTCTCTTTGCCCCTCTGTTTTCAAGTAAGAAAAATGAGTTCATTCATTGTTACTTCAAATGTTATTGTTGTTAGCGATGTTAATATTATTGCTACTTTCATCGTTATTTTGGTTAGTGCTGTTGTTGTTGCTGCTTGTTGTTTGTTGTTGTTGTTGGTGTTTAATCTTTCAAATATTATAATACTACATTGGTACAATGGTACTACTATGGTACAACATCGTAAAATAGTAATAATGAACTATCTTTTAATACGTTGAATTGATTCGCAGGTTTAATTTACGATACTACGAAATCTTACTTCGGCGTTTTCATGATGACGTCACTGGTGGCCTTCCTTAGTGCATTGTTCTACTTCTTCATACCGCTAATTAGGTCTGGCGGCAGCCAATCACGTAGCGACAGCAGCAGCAACAACAGCTGCTGCAGTATTAACAACAATCAAAATAACAGCATCCCCATTAACAACAACAAATTTAATGATGATGATGACGCTAGCAACAACATCAACAAACGACACTGACAACAACCACCGGATTAATAATAATAATAACAACAACAATAATAACAATAATAACAGTAACAATAATAACAATGACAACAATTGCAACAACGACCAAAATAATATAGCAACAACATAAAAACTTTATCATCTAATAAATGATAAACCGTAAAAAAGAAGCGGGAATGGTGATATGAAGATATAAAAATTTAAACATACACGAAGATGATTATGCTTTGAATTTGTGTGTGCGTGCATGTGTGTGTATGTGTGTGTGCGTATGTGACGACGATGAAAAAATTGATGATGATTGAGACACTTAAAACCGTTGTGAAATTAATCGAAACCTATCCACCCAATAAATAAACTGTTAGAATTTTTCAAATTTTTTTTAAAACCTTCAAAATATCACATTATATGGAAAATAAAATATATACTGTAAAAACAATAAAATAAAATTTTTTCAGTAAAATATATCGTCTTCTGTAGAATGCTATACAAAAACAAAATGAATTTTTTATAAAATGTAAATATGTATAAACGAATTAAATAAATTAGCCTAAGAAATATACATTATGATAAGAACAAACATAAAAAATGTAGAACCATGAAATAAATATAGAATAAAAACATACATGCGATAAAAATATAATATTATAAAAATTAATAATTATTGAAGTCATCCGGGTCAGGGTAGAATTGGGATGGACCGCACCACCGCTTGTTTGGCGGATATGTTGTTGTATCCATGCTTGTGTTGGGGCGTTTGACGGAAGTGCCAGCGAATGTGGGATGGCTGGATGACCGTTGGGTGAATTGATCCTGGTCTGGAAGCACCTGATGTTGATTGGTGACGTAACGTTGTGAAGGTTGTGGGTAGTTGTAGCTGTAACTGTTCATGTGGTTGGATGGTGGCCCTGAAGGTTCCGATGTGGCGAGGTAGGTCGCGGAGTTCATCTGTGGTGGCGCTACATCACGTGCGTAAGTAGTTGTCGTGTTCCAATTGCCGTACGAAGCATATCCATCGCTGCTGTTCATCGTCGTCGACTGGTTGTCGTACGTTGATGACGTCATGTTTCTTTGTGGCTGCCACCGCTGCTGCCTTTGGTACTGTAGATATGGTTGGTGTTGAGGACGTTGTTGAAGTCGCCGTCGTTGTTGTTGCAGTTGTTCATATTGTTGTCGATTGTAAAAGGCTGCTTGCGAAGATGACGATGTTGCCATAGGAAAATAGTTCGGTGTGTTGCAGTCAAATGTTTGCTCTAAGGCGTCGAAACAGTGGCCCTGCAGGGTGGCGGCTGATCTTGTTGTTGCTGCAGAGAATCTGGAAGTCGTAAAGTGGTTGGTCGTTGCACAGGGAGTTAAATGGTTGAACGAGTGGTAGTTGTTGGTAGGGTAGACGTTTTGTTGTTGGTAGAGGTTGATCGTGTTACCGATGTTGGTGTTTCTGTTGTGGTTTCTGCAGCTGGTTTGTGTTAAAAGTTGCGTGTTGTCGCCACCAATATTGCTGACGTTGTTGCCACTGTTTCTGATGTAGTTGGTGTTGTTGCCGATGTTGTTGCCGATGTGGCCGATGCTGCTTGAGTCGTTCGTGTTGATGGAATTGTAGTTACTGTTGTTGGTGTTGTTGCTGGTGCTGCTGAAGTTATTATTGTTGTTGTTGGTGTTGTTGCTAAAGTTGTTGCTATTGCAGTAGCCGATGTTGTTGTAGCCGATGTTGTTGTTGCTGCCGTTGTCGCTAGTGTTCTGGCTGGTGTTGTTGTGGCTGATGCAGCTGCCTTTGTTGACGGGTGCAGTGTAGTTCGTGACAGTAGCAGGAGATGGCGATTGAACTTGAGACAAAGATCTAAATGTTGATGATGCTTCGGATGAAGTTGAATCATCCATCCGGTTGCTGAGCTGGTGACCTCTAACCTTCTGGTTGAGGTCAGCCATTCTCTGCCTCCTCCTCTCCTTCACTTCCTCCTTGCCCTGATTGTACCTCACCGGATCAAAGAGCCACAGTCTTCCTCTTCCGTTCGAACGGCTCAGGTTGGATTTGTAAAAATATTTGTTGTGAGTGAGAGAGAAGCGAACGTTCTGATGCCAGGTTTGATCGCTGGCTGGGTAGTTGGAGTCCTTCTGACTGATGTAGGAGTAGATGTCTGCTACGGCCAGTCCCTGCTGGCAGCTGTTGATGGCCTCGATGATCAGCAGCGTCAGGGCCTCCTGCTTCGTTCGGTACTTCTTCTTCAATCGAGTTTTTGCGTTGTTTGCGTCGTTGTTGTTCGCGCTGTTGTTTGTGCTATTTATGTCGTTGCTTGTGGTGCTGTTGTACGCGTTGAAAACTTCGCCGTTGTTTGTGTTGTTGTTCGTAATATTGTATGTGTTTGTGATGTTGTTTGCATTTGCGGTGTTGTTGTTTGAGAAGTTGTTGTACGCGTTGAAGTCTGTGGTGTTGTTTAAAATGTTGTTGTTTGGGATGTTGTTGTATGTGTTGATATCTGTGCTGTTGTTGTTTGTAATGTTGTACGTGTTTGTGATGTTGTTGCTTGTAATGTTGTTGTACGTGTTGATATCTGCGGTGTTGCTCGGGATGTTGTTGACTGAGGTAGTGTTTGTGGTGTTGTATGTAACGCTATTTGTGTTAATGTCGGTTATGTTGTTGTTTGTATTGTTGTTGTTGACGATTTTGACGTTATTACTGCTGTTGTTGCTGCTATTGCTGTTGTTGCTGTAATTGTTGTTGAAGGTGACGTTTTCACCGTCGTTATTGTCGCTGATGTCGTTGATGTTGTTGATGTCATCGCCTTCGATGATTCTGCTGAAAAAATCAATGTCGACTGCGTTAGTGTTTGGGCTGTTGATGTCACCGAAGTTGATGTTGATGAAATCCAAGTCGTTGCCTGTTGCATAGTTGTTGTCTGTAACGTTTTTGTTGCTCGTGTTGTTGCCATTCATGCTGTTGTTGATGTTGTCTGTGTCAATGTGATCGTAACTACTGTTTGCAATGGTGATGTTTGTGTTATTGTTGTTGTAACTGTAATTTTTGTTATTATTTGCCATGATCTTGTCGTTGCTGTTATTAATGTTTTTTGTGTTGTTATTAAGGATGTGATTGATGAGGACTTAGTTGTGAAAAAAGATTTCAAATTATTTCATCTTGTGGACCAATGAGCATCTAATACACTACTTACAATCTGTGACACGGACAGAGCTTTTTGCGATTCGACGTACGATGTTTTGGACGGAAAAGTTGAATTTAAATTTGTTTCTAGCGCCTGAAAACTCGCGTGGCAAATTTTCTAAAATGAAGCCACCCCTAGTTGTTGTAACAGCTGTTTGAGATGGTGTTGTTTGTTGTAATGTTGTTGTAACAGCTGTTTGAGATGGTGTTGTTTGTTGTAATGTTGTTGTGACTGCTTTTGTGATGTTGTTGTTTGTTGTAATGTTGTTGTAACTGTTGTTTGTGATGTTGTTGTTGCTGTAATGTTGTTGTAACAGCTGTTTGAGATGGTGTTGTTTGTTGTAATGTTGTTGTGACTGCTTTTGTGATATTGTTGTTTGTTGTAATGTTGTTGTAACTGTTGTTTGTGATGTTGTTGTTTGTTGTAATTTTGTTGTGACTGCTGTTTGCGAGTGTTTTCTTGAATACCAACAGGCACTCTAAATATTCAAGTGATGTTTTTGAGAGAAAAGCTGAACTTAAATTTGTTTCTAACAACGGAAAACTCACGAGCCAAATTCACTGAAAACACCTCCAGCTCCAACTTATATACCAACTTGAAGCCAATCAAACCTCTCCCAACAACAACAATCTCCCTGCATAGTCGTCATGTCACACAACTGCAAATTATAACATTCCACATTTCCAGAGTTATAATTAACCTGCCAATAATATTATTGGTACCCGCCAATATTTGAATATTACCCGCTCGATGACGTCAACATAATGACTTGCCAATAATCTTCTTCCGTAATTGGTCGGCCACTCTTTGTTACCATGCCAACATGTCCTTCTTTCTCATTGGTCAGCCACCCATTCCGGCTCTTTTTCAGCCAATCAGCCGGTGTCAACATTTGTTAGAATTTTTTGGGGTTCTTTTGTTATTATTATTCTTATTATTTTCATTTTGTTATTAGTATTAGCGGCTATGTAGCTGGTATTGAACTATAGTCATTTGTTAGAATTACGAACTCCTGCTAAAATTTGTTAGAATTAAAACCATGTAGGTACTTTCTTCAACATGATTTTTTTATTATCGAGGCAGTAGTAACAGGTATCAGTAAAAATAGTAGCAGCAATAATATTATACTAGCAATTGTAGCAGTAGTAGTAGCAGTGGCAGTAGTAGTAGTAATTGTAGTAATAGTAGTAGTGTAGTTACTAGTAGGGTGGTAGTAGTAGCCTTACTGATAACAGTTGTTAATACACAAACCTGTTGAAACTATGTCACGAGAAAAAATCTCCGTATTTGAAATATAGTTTGTTAGAATTACTATCGTTTGAGTTCACTTATTTTGTGTTTTTTTTTGTTATTATTATTTTTTTGTGTGTTTTTTTTCTATTCTTGTTAACGTATAAGCGATTGATTGATTGATTGATTGATTGATTGATTGATTGATTGATTGATTGATTGATTGATTGATTGATTGATTGATTGATTTATTGATTGATTGATTGATTGATTGATTGATTGATTGATTGATTGATTGATTGATTGATTGATTGATTGATTGATTGATTGATTGATTGATTGATTGATTGATTGATTGATTGATTGATTGATTGATTGATTGATTGATTGATTGATTGATTGATTGATTGATTGATTGATTGATTGATTGATTGATTGATTGATTGATTGATTGATTGAGATTGGTTGTGATTGATTGGTTGGCTGGCTGATGAATGAACGATTGTCAATTTAGATAAATTAACATCTTGGTAATTAAGTAGAATAGCAAACTAGTTGACACCGTAGTTAATTTTATTGATCGTTACGTGAATCACAACAATTAATGTCAATTAAAATTAATTAATTAATTTTTTAATTTAACTGTTTAAGATAGGCCGACAAATTTTATTAAAAATGAACAAACTGGCATCTTACTTTTCTTCCATCATTTTAACTATATAATTATAATTAAATAATTATAATAATTATCAGTAGTATTAATTTTTTTATAATTTTTTAATATTAAACCATTCTTATCGCCATGAAAGCTCAGACTCTAGTCTTCTTAACCACTTTAAACCCTTTTATGTTATGTTATGTTAGTTATATCACGACATGTATCAAAGTTCTCTACTTAGAATATATATATTATGTAGTTTTTTAGAATTTAAATATTTTTCTCTTAAATTACTTTCAAAAATACCATTCAAGAATTTTTTTCGAGATCGTGTGAGTTTTTTAAAAAAAACGTTAAAGGATGTGGCTCATCTTGAATTCTTTTTTTTGTCTTCGAGTTAGTAATTATGTTGGATGATTTTACGCAAAATTACGCGAAGAAAGTTTAGAATACACAATAAAACCCCGATATATATGATTTTTAGAATAAATTTAAATTAATAAATTATAAATTAAAATTTTACCCTCAAGCCATTTTACCAAAAACTCAAAAAATAAACTCAATAAATTTAAATTAATAAATTATAAATTAAAATTTTACCCTCAAGCCATTTTACCAAAAACTCAAAAAAAATGAATTTAAAAAGAAAATTATGCTAATCGTTCAAATGTTTTGTTTCAGAATCATCGCCATTCGTCCTGATGACATTAACGTCATCAACATCACAAATAGCACTAAGATTGCCACCAATAACATCACCATCATCAACAACAGTATCACCAGCAACGACGACTTCATTGATGACATCATTGATGACATCATCAGCATTCTTAACAGTTCTCAAAGGTAATGTCTTATTCTTAAATGTCCTATCTCTTCTGTACTTGATGATTGGAATGGATGAATATAGCGCGAAACCTACGAAGGCAAGGCACGTCATAAGTATGAACATTTTGTCGTAAGAGCCTGAAATATCGAAGACAGCGCCTATGTGAAAAATTTAAATAAATACGTTTAAAATATTTAGTTATGGTTTTAATGAGTTATTATTTATTTATTAAATTCATTTATTCTATTTACTTATTTCTATTTATTTATTCAAAAACATTTTTAAGTAGTATATATATTATTTCTTTAAAGTATCAACCACAAACGCACATCACAGGTAAATAGTTACGCGTGATTCATAGCCAGAAAACAAACTCTAAGCCACATTTAACCCTAAAACGACCCTGAACTTCGTACCTGTAAACAAAGGCACAGAAATGACACCGATGCCACTGAAGATGTTTGTAAGGGAGAGGGCAACATCAATGTGAAGGCCGGTTGATTCAGCTGACCCGGCATACAAATAGACGTAGTTCAAGGCTATCAGGGTTCCATCCACTTTTTTTTATTCATGGTTATAAGTATATTTCGTTGCCAATCAGACAAGACATCAGACAAACAGACATGAACGTGCATATCATCATCGTCGTCCTCGCCAAGAAGTAACAACTAGTAAGCACACAAGCGCACCATTATCATCATATCTCATTATCACCATATCGTCGTCGTCGTCATTACCATCATGACTATCATCACCATCATCATCATGACATCATCATCATGACCATTATCATCATCATCATCATCATCATCATCATCATCATTATCATCATCATCATCATCATCATTACCATCACTACCATCATCATCATCATCATCATCATGACATTATCATCATCATGACATCATCATAACATCATGACATCATCATGACATCATCATCATCATGACATCATCATCATCATCACATCACATCATCATCACCAAACTCAAAAAAAAACCGAAACGACAATGAAATACTAACTTATGGCTAAAAATAGGATGAAATAAAAATTAGAATGAGAGAATGACCAGACGAAATTTAAGACGGACAACAAAAAACAGGCGATAATGTTGACGTAGATCAATTTTCCCGCCAACTTGTCCCCTGGCAAGGCGGCCAGAATGTAAACGAGGCACTCTGATAGGCTGAGCAAGGTCATCACCAGGGAGACGTTGGACGTTGATACGTTGTTCGTCTTCAAATAGTGGGGCTGGGGTCATATTTAACAAAATTTAAATTTCAAATATAAAATATGAATGTAATAAAAATGAAATTTATTGTTATTATAATGGCGATGATAATGATATTAATTGTACTACTATTACTGCTAATACTACTACTACTGCTACTACTACTACTACTGCCGCTACTACGTTTGCTGCTATTACTACTGCTGTTGCCACTAATATTACTATTACCACCATAACACTACTACAAAGATAACCCATTCAAGAAAATAACATACGCGTATACGCAATTTGTCACTATTCATTTTTATTTAGATAAGTATCGCACTTTTTTTCCTTGTTTGTTTGTGTATGTGTGTGTACGTGCGTATGTGTGAATGCATATTTTTGGACAGTTTTGCTTGATTATTTTTAAGATGTTCGCGCGTTCTATGCAATGAGATGAATGAATTTAATTAGTCGCCAGTGTCTATATACGCATGCTTTGTTGCTGAATTTACATTTTATGTATGCGTTAGTTAAAATGAATTTTATTTAAAATTTTATATTTTATTTAATGAAGATAAAATGATCTGACCGACCAAGATATAGAATGGCATGAAATAGAAAATAGGGTTGAGTAATGAAGCGATGCACCAGCAAACTGTTTCCGGTTTTATCTGAACGGAAGTGACGTATGCGATGAAGTTTTTGAAGCAACTTTGTTTTTGTTGTTGGTGGCGTATTTCTTGTTGTTGTTTGTAGGGATGTAACTGTTTTTTATCTCTCGGTTGAAGAATCGGTTTCATATTCGTTGCATCCCCGCTCGTTGCTATTGCATCTCCGTTTGATTGAGATTCTCCGTTTGACTGAGATCTCTGTTCAACTTCGATTGAGATCGATTCGGTTTGAGATTTGGTAACCTGTTTTGGTAATTTTGAATAATAATAATAATAATTAATAACCATTTCTATATTATTATCATTAAATAAACATAAAAATAGAATTGTAGAAAAATTAATTAACATTTATACAAAATTAATTCAATTTTTTATGAAAAAAACAAGTTTGGTACCTTGGGAATAAGGAGCCATGAGCATGGCAGACCAACGAGAACGAGAAGGAGAGCCTGAATTTTAAAGGTTTGTCTCCAAGACGTTTTCTCTACGAGGTAGTTGACCAGGGGGTTGTAAACGAGACTGGCTGTAGTTTGGGAGACATTTCATAAAAAGTTTAACCTTAAATTATCTGATATTACAAATTAAAATATTCATAAAATGGATCTAATATTATATGATATAATATTATTCATTAATAATTAAAAAATTCCGAGTGTTTGTTAAAATGAAATACAATAATAATGCTTTCCTATTAATCAAAATTGTAAATTAATCTAAAAATAAATCCTAATAAAACAGATTTTAAAAAGCAGACGCTGAAAAACAACGATGATACTTTCCTACCGCGTAACCACTGTTGACGCATGTCGTCGCCAGGACGTGTCGCCTGTGTCCTTTCGGGAACAACTGCGTCAAGATCAGCATGGACGCCATGTTGACGAAGCAAGAACCAACGCCAAACAAAATGGTGTAGGTGAGGAACATCAGTGGAATGTGTTGTACATAGGAACTGCAAAACAGACTTACCCCTTCGAGAAGGGTTCCCAGTATGCCGCAAATCCTGTGCCCGTTCCGGCCCAGGCGTCGGATGCAGATGGTGGGCAGGAAGGAGAGGCAGTTGGTTATTGCTACCGTGCCGATTCCTATCCAGACTGCGATTGTCGGGATTGTAGTTTCGATGATTTTAATTTTCAAAAATTCTTTCTTTAGAGGTAATTAAAAACACGACGTAATAACATTTAAAAGTTATAAACTATAAAACTGTTTCAAATAGATAAAATAAAATAAAATTTATGAAACAAAATTCCGAGTTATAAGACGAGCGACCCCTACTACAACAACGAAAGCCCACGCACCTAACCCAGCGACGGACCGTTCATAATCTTCCTTCAACTTTGCGACGATGATCCCAAAGCAGTAGTAGAAGCCGGACCTGGTGAATGTGATGGCAAGAACGCAGCCAAAAACCATCCACTTGTAGTGCCTGACGCATATGCAATCATCGGTAGGACTCATTCCTCTCCTGATAGTATCAAAAATAATATTAAATTTATTTATCTAGAGGATCAGTGGAAATATACACGCTTCACTAAAAATGTATGATACTTTGTCGTGCGTTGGACAGTCAGCGTTTGAACCTACGACATCAACGACGACGACTCTAGACATGGCGCCACTACAGCCTGAGCTAACACGTCAACTGACCTTTAGAGTCAGACGTGAAATAAAGTTATAAAAATTGTTGTTAATGTACCTTCTATTTTTTTTAGCTCCTTCTTATTGTAAGAAATATGGACCACAGCAGGGCAGTTTTATCGCGATGGTTTGGTTAATTTTAATTCGATTCAAGTAAATAAAACATTTTATACTTTCCCAGTTAAATAACAATTAAAACGTACTATTAAATTTTTAATACCAATATTAACAACTGATTTATAGTTTAAAATATATACTTTTTAATAAATAAACACACGCACACACATACATACACCCATACACATATATATATATATATATATATATTATATATATATGTATATGAAAATCAATAAAATGTGTTTACTTTCCAGTTTAACTAACGTACAAATTTTGTATTTTCATATAGTTAAATATTGATTAGATAAATAGTAACAGTAAGCAAGTATGTGGCTATAAGAATACTCATCTGCATACTGCTTTCAAAAAACCGAAAATGAATATATTTGATAGTTTTATTTACGTATGTACTGTGCGGTGCATGCAGTAGTCTTCATTCACTCATTCCTTCATTCATTCACTCATTCATTCGTTCCTGCATTCATTCACTCATTCATTCGTTCATTCGTTCGTTCGTTCGTTCGTTCCTTCGTTCGTTCGTTTGTTTGTTCGTTCGTTCGTTCGTTCGTTCGTTCATTCATTCATTCATTCATTTATTCATTCATTCACTCACTCACTCACTCGTTCATTAATTAATTATTTAATTAATTAATTCATTCATTCATTCATTCATTCATTCATTCATTCATTCATTCCTTCATTCATTCAGTCAGTCAGTCAGTCAATATCTTGCTAAAAATAGTTTTTTGATGCAGGTTTATATGTCTTCACATATATATATAAATATATGTATAAATATTCAATACGTACGTATATTTAAATATAATAAATATTCAAGTATATACATACATATATTTATATTTGTAAACAAATGTTTTCTGAAAGGCTTTTGTATTCCTGGCTATATAAATAGGCAAAAAAATCTAATAAATATTAATCGTCAATAAGAAAATTTTCAAAATTTCATAAGTTTAAGATCAATTATTCATACTAACACACATTTTCACCACTAACTTTCAAGTTATTTGTCGATTTAACCGGTGATTAGTTAACTTTTTTTTGAAATTTACTAATTTAGTTTTTTAATTTTGAAATTAGGTTTTTAAATTTAACCGCACATATGGGAAATCACCACCAACGTTATAAAAATATAAAAACTTCATTAACACAGCAACATGCTCGAGTGTTACTGACTTCGCCACAAGTCAAATTATAAGAGCAAACACATACATACACAAGACTACGGAGGTTCGAAGTCAGAGACCTCACACCTCACACACGCACTCATTCACACGCACATAGAGACACACACATACACACACACACACGCACGCACATAGAGACACACACATAGACACGCACACACGCACGCACATAGAGACACACACATAGACACGCACACACGCACGCACATAGAGACACACACATAGACACGCACACACGCACGCACATAGAGACACACACATAGACACGCACACACGCACGCACATAGAGGCACACACATAGACACGCACACACGCACGCACATAGAGACACACACATAGACACGCACACACGCACGCACATAGAGACACACACATAGACACGCACACACGCACGCACAACCGGGAATGATCGTATAATCTATAATGCAGACAAATAGTTTTGTTTCTGAATGAGATTTTTTTTTAAAGTATGACAAATTTTATTGTTGATGGGCTTTGAAGATGAATAAGATGGCAGGGAGTGATCGGATAACCCGGATAACCCGGTGGAAACATGCTACGGTTGTCATCTACATTACATTCCTTTTGGTTATTTATGTTTCATTGTTTTTCATCACATGCACACACATGTACACACGTGCACAGACGCGCATGCACACACACGAACACACGTGCACACACATTTTAGCATGTGATTAACTAACTCATAACCGACTAATTTGAAGACTAGGTGAATGTTATTTCGCCCTATATGCAAGAAACTTCGGCTGATCTCATGGTTTTGTTATAATTATTTATTCCTACTAAATCAACAAATGATTAAGTATTTTGTTTTAAAATAAGGTCTATTAATAATACTTTAATTTTGTTAAAAAACCAATTGTTTCAATTATTATATAGTTATTATTATTTTACTATTATAGATAATTATTTAGATGAATAAAACTGGAGGCTGATTTTGACTGACAGTTACACAAAAAAGTTCAACATTTTATTTTCTAACTTTTAAAGAACGAAACAACAAAGAATCATAACAATCTTCTTCTCTCTTTCTCCCTTTCTCTCTCTCTCTCTCTCTCTCTCCAGACACGCATAAATTATAATATGCAATGTGACAGGCCCTATATACAGTTAACACACCATAAATTTCTAAATAACATTTATGTGTAACACACACACACAACACACACACACGCATATATGTATATGTACGTGCGTGCGTGCATTTGTGTGTGTGTGTGTGTGTGTGTGTGTGTGTGTAAAGATCCATGAATATATATATTAAAAAACTGTACTTCTAACATAACCATATCGTTATCTAGGTTATAAAAAAAACGCATCAACAACGAAACAAACAACAAAACAAACAACAAACAAAATTAAATTTCAACATAGATAAATAAAAATAATAGCAAAACTTCTAGATGAAGATGGAAAAGTATTTTAACGTGAAAGATCTTGCGGCTGATATAAGTTTAAAAAATAATTCAATACCTCTATACCACATGTATACAAAAAATACCATGCTTTTCGTACACAAAATACATGTACACAAAATTGTGCACAATTCGTATAATAAAAAGCAAATACAATTATATATAGAAATATTCAAACTGACATACATAAACTTACACCCATCCATACATATACTTACACACACACATACATATACATACAAACACACATACACACGAGGCATACATGCAAACACACACACATGTAACATCCTAGACTGATATAATTTTCCTAAACACTATCACGGGCTGACAGAAACACATATATTTAGTGCTAATAATAGTTAAAAACTACGTTTTTTTCTGAGTTTGTGCTTGTGTTTGTTTGTATCTGTCTGTATGTGTGTGTGTGTGTTTATATGTGTGGTTTTTGTGTGTACGCCTACCAAACGCTTGTCTGTGATATGAAAACATCACAACAATGAACTTGTAGCAATTTACTTTTGCTTGTTAATGTTATTAATATTATTGTTATTATGGTTATTATTAGTGCTTTTGTTGTTGTTGTTGTTGTCGTCGTCGTCGTTGTAGTAGTAGTAGTTGTTGTAGTTGTTGTTGTGGTTGCTGTTGTAGCAGTTGTTGTAGTTGTTGTTGTAGTTGTTGTTGTTGTTGTAATTAATGTTGCGCTCATTCAGCAGGAAATGACAGGAATAATCAATCATTACAACTTGAAAAGTATGACATTTAAAATTAGCACTATAATTTATGAAACCATTTGAAAGACAGACGCTTGCACTCACACACACACACACACACACACACACACACACACACACACACACACACACACACACACACACACACACACACACACACACACAAACAAACATACACACACACACAATTTACACACACACACACACACACAATTTACACACACACGTACGCACACGCACGCACACACTTGTGAAAGTATTAAATACCGGTTGAAGATATAATATATATGTATAAATACCCAAGCATATATACAGATACATAAATAAATACCCATATACACACAAAGAGACAGAGAGAAACGCACACACACACGTACAATAAACCAACTCATACAAAAAAAAAATCACATTTTAAATAATATGCTTTATTGATTCATGCATGTAAACACACACACACATACACACACACACACACACACACACACACACACAAACACACATTCATACATGTATACAAACATCACGTACACACACACACACATATACACGCACATATGAGAATATATATATATATATATATATATAAATACGATCATATATATTTATTATACAAATATATAAAATGGTTGAAAGACAAAATTGAAGATTTTGTAAAATACATAAGTAACTTCTTTCTCTAGAGATTAAAACATTCTTGCAGGAATAAAATGAAATAAAACCAGAAAAAGCTTGAAAAATGTGAAATATGTACCAACATTGATTAGAATAATTAAAAAAATAATATGAAATAATAAGAATAATAAGAAGAAATAATATTATTCAAATAATTAATCGATATTTTTTCTCATCGTTCGTCTTCACTGACGTCATCTACATCTATATAACCGTAACAAATTAATTCCAAGAAAACCTAATTATTATTATTCATATAATATTATTATATATTATATTATTATATATTATATTATTATTTATTTAATATTATGATTTGTTATTATTTGTATTATTATTTATCTTCGCCATCATTCATTGTTGATATTATCATTATCGAAATTGGCTTGCCACGCGCCAGCGTAATCTCCCACACTATTATTATTAATATTATTATTATTATTATTATTATCATCATAATAATTATTATTACTATTATTATTATAATTAATATTTACATTGACAGCTTCACCGCCGTTCTTCTGGAAGGGGTTGTTTCCATGCCTTGGGCCTCTGTCGAATGAGACAACAGATTGCTGCTCGTGCTGTTTGACCACCGTGGTCATCGTACAGGGCACGGGCCCCTGAACGTACAGCGAAGTGTTGAGGTCCGGGCCACTACTTCCACCCCCTCCTACTGCATTTGTAGCTCCGCCATTGGTCAGACTGGTTTTTCTCAAATCGTTGCTGAACGGTTGTGGCTGTTGTGGCTGCTGCGACTGCTGCTGCTGAGGTAGTTTTGTGCTGAATTTCAACGTTTCGTAGCTCTTATTCTCGAGATCCGTTGAGTCGAGATTTTTGCTGTGCTTCAGTTCTCTGCGGTATTGCAAGAGAGGTATTGCTCCAAATATGCAGGTATCTAGCAGGTACACACCACCAACCACGAAGAAGACGCCGGTGTAAGAGTTGTTGATGTCGTAGATGAATCCTGCCGTGTCGTGTGTGCAAGTGTTAACAGAGTTTAACGAAACCTCTCAACAACGGGCTACATATTTTTCAGTTTTTAACTTCAACAATTTTCACATCTCATCAAATAAATTTCGACAGTATGAGAATGTTCGCTACAAGTATTTGCACATAATCGTAGGTAATTTTGAATAGCAGCAAATTCATATTGCACAGGCACTCGACAATTTTTATTCTTATTTCATGACTACAAAACAAATCTAACATAAATCTAACATCAACGGACGAACGAACGAACGAACGAACGAACGAGCGAATGATCGAGAAAACAAACAACTAAATAACTAACCAAGCAACCAATCAATCGATCACTCAACCAACCATTAAAAAAAGGTCCAATTAGAATTCCTATACCAGACCAGAGGTTAGTGTAGGACCAAGCGATGTCGATGGGCAGCTTAGTTGTCTCCCTGGACGCAGCGTACGTGTACACGATGTTCAGTCCCAGAAACCCCCCCATTGCTGTGTCGTTTTTGGTTGTGTCGTTGTTGGTGGTGTCGTTGTTGTTGTGTTGTTGTTGTTGTTGGTGACGGTTGTGGTGTTGTTGTAGTAGTTGTTGTTGTTATGTTTGTTAATTAAGGTGGTTGATTTTTAGGTAAAAAAGGATTAGTTGGTCTTTATTTGTGAGAGCTTAACATAAAGAATATTTTTCAGTTTTTTTTGCGATGTCTTCAATTTATTTTATTCCTTAGGGCGAAGTGTTTGAAAAATTAATGAAATAAAACAATTTGAGTTGTGTTCCATTTATTTAGAAAAATTATTAAAGCATTGAACATGAAAAATTGGATTAATAATTAATGATTAACAATAAAATGTCTATTACACATTCAGTATGAAATAGGAATTGAACTAACGTAACGCTATAAGAATCGAACTAACCTAACGATATTGCCAGTATCATCCCGTACGAAACATCGATGAGTGGCCACACCAGGCAGATGACCGCCAGAGCGCCCGAGGCTGCCACATTTACGTACACAAGTCTTTGAAATTCGGGTTTTTGAAATTTAATTTTATTAAAATTTATATTTTTGGTAAAAATTAGTTTTGATTTAGATGCTGACTTTTGAAAAAATGTTTGAACGTATTAAACCTTAATGAATGATTTGTTGTTAGTTTTTTTTAACTTTTTCGAAAAAATTCGAATTTTAAAACATTTTAAATGTTATTTTAATAAAAAAAACAAGCATTATGCCTACTTATACAATTAGTTATAAACATAGATTAATTAATTTTGTTTTAATTTTTAACGAAGAAATTCGAATTTTAAAACATTTTAAATGTTATTTTAATAAACAAACAAGCATTATACTTACTCATACAATTAATTATAAACATAGATTAATTAATTAATTAATTAATTAATAATCAAATTTAATAAATAAACATGTAACCTATCTTTGAGGTAGTCTCCCAGAAAGCTGGCAGTTATGTAGGTAACGCATTCAGCCAGACTCAAGAGGATCAATGCAAGAGAACTCCATTTCGGCGTTATGTTCCTCCTTTGCATGTAGTGGGCCTAAAATGTAATGTTTTTAGGGGGCCTAAGAATAAAATGTGCCTTTAGATGAAATGCTATTGTTTTGTTAACGTAATTAAAGCATTTTGAATAACTATCACTATCTTAAAACAATTTCCTCAAGCAAAAAATAACAAAACGTCCTATAAGAAACAGTCGAACGTTACCAAATTCATGAAGGGCATGTAGAATCCAAGATAACTGAGCATGTTGCCAAGGAACCAGAGAATTATTTCCGGTCTTTCGAGGAAAATCCCAAGGCGGAAGCGATTATACGCGCTGCTGTCATCCTCTACCGGATATTCGTCGTTGTACTCGTCATCCACTTCCGCTATCCTCATGGCGTCACCAGATTCCTTCCCATGGGAAGATTTTTTTTTATTTCATTAAAATATCAGATAATCTAAAATATTTTTAATTATTATTTTAAAACGAGGAATGTTACATCAACGTAGCATGATAATTTTAAATTGAATATTGCTGTCTAAGTTTTTATTTAAAAAATATTAGCTCTTTTTGATGTCATTATTGAATTAACGTTCTAAAACCTGAATAACCAAATAGTAAGCCAATAACTTAAGAGAACTTAAAATTTCAAATGCTAAATGTAAAATTTCGTGCGAAGGACTTAACATTTCATAGGCAAAATCGAAAATTTTCACACGTATTTGAAAATAAATTAACAAAAATCCATCCAACAGCCAACCTTGGGCGAGAAATTCCAACAGCACACCAGCCCTGTAAGCAGGATCAAGCCACTGGTCGCCCTGAATGCTGTCCTCCAGGTGAAACTTTCAATGAGCCAGGCGTGCACCGGATTGAATATCAGACTTCCTACAATTCGGTAGTGTAATGGTTAAGATGCTTGTCGCTGCAGTTGCAGGCACCGTGTTCGAACAAACACACACACACACACATACACACACAGAGAGAAAGACTACCAACCGATAGGATATCCACAGAGCAGAATAGAAGTGGCTAGGACGTGGTACTTGTGATCCTTGCCAAAATGCTCGCCAATGACCAGGGAGGACGCCATGTAGATGAGACTTGATCCCATTCCGTAGAGGAGACTGTGAGTGAAGAATAGCCACTCCAGATTGTTGACGAATGATGACGCCATCGTACTGACGGATAGGATTATCGTCCCGACCAGACCGCCGATCCTGTAGCCTCTGTGACTGAAACAGCGGATGAAGGAGACGGAGAGAGGAGCCGCAGAGAGAGATATGCAGAAAGAGAGGGTTCCTATCCAGTCTGTTGTTGTTGTTGTTGATGGCGTTGTTGTTGTGCTGTTGCTGAGTTGTTGTTGTTGTGTTTTGCGTTGTTGTGTTTTGCGTTGTTGCTGTGTTGTTGTTGCTGAGTTGTTGTTGTTGTGTTTTGCATTGTTGTGTTTTGCGTTGTTGCTGTGTTGTTGTTGCTGTGTTGTTATTGTTGTGTTGTTGTTTTTTCTATTGTCGTATTTATACTAAAAATACGCCATCAAACAGCAAACATTAATCTTTGAAATTTTTTTCAACCTCAAAATTATTACACTGCTATATAGGGATCTATTTTTATGGGATTAGTTTATTGATCCAACTATGGTATCGTTGAATTAGCACAGTATCGTATCGTATAACTTTGCATATATCATTTCGTTTTGCTAAGAATTATATATACATCAACATAAGGCTGTCTGTCTTTTCGTTCTGATTCATTTCATTTCAGTTCACTCGATTTCCACGGAAAAATTCAAACCTATCAAGATAAGAATAATGTAGAACAGGGAAGTATTTGCCTGTGTGTGTGTCTGCTTGTTTGTTTGTGTGTGTGTGTGTGTTTGGTTGTGTGTTTGTTTGTGTGTGTGTATGTGTGTGTACATGTATAAAAATATTTGCTATACTAAAGTAATTACGTAGACAGTGTATAAATATATAGGAGGTGTATAGGATTACATTGAATTAATTGGATTTATGTTGGATGCATCAAGTGTTGTTATAGTATCGTCTCGGTATTCGGTCGGTCCTCTGCTGCAAAATGTTCAATACAACTGGTTCATCTCCATCATAGGTAATTGCTATTCTATTTTTGTCGTTGTTTGTTTTTTTGTGAGTTTGTTTGTGTAGTTGCTTGTTTGTTGGATGTGTGTGTTTGTTTGTATGTACGGTTGATTGTTTGTTTGTTTGTTTGTTTGGATGTGTGGCTGTTTGTTGTGTGTGTGTGTGCTTGTTTGTATGTACGGTTGATTGTTTGCTTGTGTGTTTGTCAATGTATACTGATGCTCATGTTTTGCCGTTCAGAAATATGATAAACCAGTTTTTGAACTGATAAAGTCTCTTTATGACTTTTTGACTAGATAAACACGTACGCCTCACTCACACAGACACACACAAACACACACACAGACACACACAGACACACATACAGGCAAACGTAATTGTTCTTGCCACGTCTATGTAGCGTCTTATTCGTGCGTGACACGCATTCCTCTAATTAATACACGTCCAGCATAACCGCACTGCTGCATACAAAATACAAACATACAGCAGTACAAATATGTAAACTCCTACGCAAATGAGTTATATACATGCAGATACACACGAAGATACATACACGTAAACACACATACACACACATACACACACAGACACGCACGCACACAATAAATAATTCTATCCAATTGCGTTTTTAAATAATAAATTTTAATAAATTCCAATTATTCTCATGGAAAAGCCGTTAAATTTGGAAAATAAATTTGGAGGAAAGAATCTTGAAAGCCGTATAAATTGTTAAAACATGTCAGTTTTGTTGCTGTTTCGTATTCATATTATTATTATTTATTATACTTATACCAAAATGGCTGACAGAGGGAGTCAGTAATAATAATATTAATTATAATAATTATTATTATTACTATTGTTGTTGTTGTTGTTGTAAATGTTATTTTTATTGTTATTAGCGTCGTTGTTGTTGCTGCGTAGATTAGTTAGACCATATTTCTTTTTCAAATGAGCGCTTAGATAGATAATAAGCCCTACGTGATAGTTTTTATATAGTTGATTATATTTTGTTGCGTGCGTGCGTGTGTGTGTGTACGTGTGTACATGTGTGTATGTGTGTGTATGTGTACGTGTGTGTATGTGTGTGTGTATGTTTTTATAAAATGTAATTTTTTTACTATGAAAATTGCTTCTAATGCAGTGGCTGCTTCTATCGCAGCTGCCGCTTCTGCTGCTGTTGTTATTATTTTTGTTTTTTTTTTAATTATTATTATTGTTGTTGTTGTTATTTTTGTTGTTGTTGTAGTGTAAGCGTGTGAACTTTCTTATCTGGAGTATGCAGATGTTGGTCTGCTGTTGTGGAAATGTGCCAGGCAAGTCAAACGTCTATCAGAAATGGCACTTGGCGATAATGATGACGATGGTGGTGAGAATGATGATGGCAATGGTGATGATGGTGACGGTTGAGGCTATAGTAATGATGATGATACTTATTTTTATTCCTTCAGTCATTCATTCATCCTTCCATTCATCTTGCTATTATGAGCGATTGGAGATTGTCATCACGTGAAATGCGTCACTTCCTTCTCTCTCTCTCTCTCTCTCTCTTCTTTTTCTTTCTCTCTATCTCTTCCAGCATCTCACCGGAATTGACGTCAGCGTATTAAAAAGTTATAAAAATATTGCTGCTGATGAGGATAATGATGACGTTGCTCTTAAAGCTGCTGCTGCTGATGATGACGTAGCTGATGATGATGATGATGAAGAATGACGTTAATTTCAGTTGCCATGGAAACGACTGGGCATGCGTGAAGGACGATTTATTAACGCTTCGTGAGAGGCGAGGGAGAAAAACAGTATGGCGAAAATGATGATGATAATGATGGTGGTTATGATGATGATGATGGCGGTGCTGGTGATGATTTTATCGGATGGCTGTAAATGTGGTATTCCAAATAACTTGTTTGAATTTTATTCAATGCTTTTTTTTATTATCTTATAGCTTAAATCAATTCGTAGCGTTTGATTTATTTAATTCATCTATTCATTCACTCAGTCATTCATCTACTCGTTCATTCATTTTTGTTATAACATTAATTCACAAATTTAAACATTTATTAATTCACCCATCCATAAATCTGTTACTCAATTTATCCATTTTTCGTTCCTTCGTTCGGTCATCTATTCATTAATTAGTTTAAATATGCATGATTTTATTCACTAAGTCACTTGTTTTTCCATCTTCTTATTCATTCATCCCTTCATTTTTTCCTTTCTTCCTTCATTCATTCAAATACCAATCCATCTATCTATCCATTCATCTATCCGTCCATTCATTCTCCTATCCATTGATTCCTCCTTTCATTCCTCCTATCGACCATCCATCCGTCCATCCACTAGCCAAATGATGAAAGGGCAGAACATACGTCTCGTTTCCAGTTATTCATTTAATGGATGCCTTCCTTCATTCAATCCATCCTTCTTTATTATCTTCTTCCTTTCCATTGCAACAGTAATCACGTGAGCCAGCCTGTAATCACGTGCCTATGTTTTTGTTTACGTTTTCGTTTTTGTTTACCTTTATCCTTGCTGATGTCTAAATTTTTATCATGTATCTTGACTTTATTTAGCAATTTTGTTCCATTTTAGTTGGTTTCATTTACGAAAAGTTTGATTGAAAAGAAAATGTTGCTAATATCTTTGGTGTAAAACAATAAATGAATGAATGAATGAATGAACGAACGAACGAACGAACGAATGAATGGAATGAACGAATAAACGAATGAATGAACCAAGAAAAAAGAAAAAATTAATGAAACTCGTTAAATAGAGATTCGCTAATGCTCGGCTACAAAACAAAATCTATCTTAAATCCATTAATGCCTGTTTTATTTCGTTTGCTTGTTTGTGCGTGTGCGTGTGTGTTTTTCGTGCATGTGTGTGTGTGTATGTGTGTGTGTGTTTGTTTGTGTGTGTGAAAAACAACCCCGCAACATCTGCCTTCTCAATTAAGTCTTCACTTGTATAGGTACAACATTGCATACGAAATGAATTTGCATGTAGGTGTGCCTTCTAAGAAATGTTCACATACACACAGGCATGTATGTGTTGTGTGTGTGTGTGTGTGTATGTGTGTATGTGTAACAGATAAATAGCAACTATATTAGCGAGATAAAAATCTTCTTGCTGATTTTAAAGTAAGTTAGCCAACCCAAAATATTTACAGACAAAAGCAGAGCAACTATAAAACCATATACAACAGCGACGACAAACACAACAACAACAAAATGACATAATAAACAACATAAGTAAACAACACTATCAATGACATCACCAACAACACAACAACAAAAACGTCAACAACAACAACGACGACATCAACAAGAACAACAACATCAACATCATCAGCAACAACAAAGTCAACATCAACAACAATAACCTCAACGAAAACAACAGCAGCAAGAACAAGGCAATCACAACAATCCAGTGATAACTAATTCTTTTTTTATCTCAGATCGCACGTGGTTCAGTAATAATTTTTTCTGCCTTTGTTTTGGAAGGAAAAAATCCAACATTATTAATATTTCTGTGGTATGTTTATAGAAACTGCATTACAATTTTCGTTAATTTTCTATAAATCTTTCGATTTAAATTTCTTTTGTTTTTAATAAAAATATTTTTATATATTTTTATTTTAGAAAAATTCGTCATAAAAAAGCATAAGTGTGAACGTTTATTCATATTTACACATACACATAAATACACACACACACAAATACACCCACACACATATATATATATATATATATATACACACACACAAACACAATATAAATATATATATATACACGTCTTTATAAAAACTTTATATCAGAGTAATATTTCCAGTTTTGTTTTCCGCCGCGAGATGTCATCTTCCTTATAACGAAGTTTTCTGTGTGCCATCTTCGTTATAATCGAGTATTTTCGAGTGTTTGTATAGGATCAAATTTGTTTGCGTTAATACTTTAGATGCTCTTTTTGCTGCTGGTTTCTCTCTCTCTCTCTCTCTCTCTCTCTCTCTCTCTCTCTCTCTACTTATATATATATATATATATATAATTATGCATATTTATTTACACACACACACACACACACACACACACACACACACACACACACACACACACACACACACACACATATATATATATATATATATATATATATATATATATATATATATATATGGTGTGTATGAATGTGTGTGTGTTTGTATGTGTGAGTGCGTGAGTCAACAATATATATATCTTATATATTTACATATTCACATGTTAAACAACATATAGTAGTAGTAGTAGTAGCAGTAGAAGTAGTAGTAGTGGTAGTAGTAGTAGTAGTAGTGGTTATAGTAGTAGTGGCAGTAGTGATTGTAGTAGTATTTATAGTAGTAGTGTAAGAACCATAAAAGAGTCACGTGATAATAAATAATTATATTAACGATGCTAATGTACTGGATTGCAGTTCATTGTAGTGTGAGATGAACGCGCGTGTGAACATTGTGTTCATTGTTCGCCATTTGTTCGTTATTTCGTTCGTTTGTTTGTTTACAATGATACCTACACTCTTATAAATGTATCCATATGTATGTGTATATATCATGTATCATACCTATTCTTATAGTTAGAAATACGATATATAAATTTTCCCGTCATCTCATTGTTACTTATTTAAAGTATAAAAAATGATTGACAATTTGCTTGTGTGTTTGTCTGTGTGGTGTGTGTGTGTGTGTGTGTGTGTGTGGTCTGTAGTGAAAAGATCACATGCCTGAGAGAAACAAGACATTTGAAACTTTCCGAAATATCGTAAAGAGTAAGAAAACTAGAAATAGAGATAACACAAAGAGAACATGAGAAATGAGATAGAAAGAGAAAGAGAGAGAGAAAGACAAAGAGGATGGCAGAGAAAGAGAGAGAGAGAGAAAGAGAAAAAGAGTGAGAGAAAAAGAAAGAGAGACGTGGTAATTGGAGCCATTTAAAACCTTCCAGCATCTAATATGCATTACGTAACACTCCTTCTGTTTACTTCCATAGATTGAAACGATCCCACCCGACAAATTTTCATAAAAATTTTACCCAAGAAAATGACATCTATGAATTTTCATTAAGTAATTTATTTTACAGTGCGTTGAAAGTTCTGTACAAAAATTGCATAGTTGATGTAGCGCACATGCATTCCTACACTCTCACACACACGCACATACACACACATACATTCACACGCACACACATACACACACACATACATTCATACATACGGATACGGTTTCAGCGGTCAACGCGCGTGCCAATTAAATTTATTAGATCGTGACTGGATATTTTACGTGTATTTCACTGATAAAAAAAAATGAAAAAATTATTATAAAAACAGCTAGAATACTCCAAAGCAGCCAGCACAAAAAAACCCAAACTAGCCTAAAATTATCACAGCAACCGACTTGAAAAAACAAACAGACTAACTCTGCTCTGCCATGGAGCTATTGTAGATTGACTGGAGTTTGACGATGAACATGCCGAAGCTGTAGGTCAGTCCACTCCTGATGACTGTGATGATGAGGACAGCTAAACAGACCAGCCAGCCCTTTCTATCTTGCTTCATAGCTGACTTTATCTCGCTACATTTTTCGTAGCTCTGCTCGGCTATGTATTTAGCGTTTTCTAAACCGTTTTTTAGCGTCTCCATTTTCACAGTTTATCGGATTTGAAAGTGTTTCGATTTATTTCTTTTATTTAAAATTTTTGTGGTTGTTGTTTTTTTTTCTGGCTCTCTGGGGCGAGTTTTTTATTCGTTGGAAGTTGGAAGTCTGATGCGTCAGTGATTGCTGTTGTCAATGAATTGGTTACAATTTTCGTACCAAATTAAAAAACACGAAAGAGTCAATAAGGAAAATAATCATATAATAATAATAAAACAACAACAACAACAACAATGATGATGTTAATAAAAACAACATCAACACTAACAATAATAATAGTAATATGTTAATCTTTTTTACCTTTATGCGATAACTTGGAGGCAATTGTAGGTTGTCGAATTCAGCGTCAGTAGGAGTAAAAATTTATTTCTTCGTATCAAAGCTTTCTTCCCAAATAAGTCTACAGTACAAATGATATGATATGATATATATCTTAATCTTTCGAGGTGATGTGATATGATATATATCTCAATCTTTCGATCTATGTATCATTTATTATTTTAAATAATTTCTTTCTTCACTTCTTCGAATTTCATTATTCTTCTTCAAACGAAATCACCATCCGTAAATTTCATCTGCTGAAAAAAGGAATATCAATTAATAAAAGTAGTTAATCAATAACTAACTGCTTCTCATCAATACTATCATCATCATCATATTCATCGTCATCATCATAATTATTATTATTATATTATTGTTATTATTATTATTATCCTCCCAATACTGGTAGCACGTTAGTAGAAGCAGCGTCGAGCGTACCACACAACTTCATAATCACGCAACCGCTGTACCTTACCATCTGCAACTGAAGGCTCCTTTCACATCATCATTTTCTTCATCTTCTTCCTCTTCATCTTCTTCATCATTTTCATCTTCGTCGCCATCATTTTACCCTCTCGTAACTTACTATCTCTCTGGGACTGCTTT